CACATAAAGTATCACCTGGAAAAATCTGCTTTAAGAGTCCCAGTTCCCCCCACTGTTGACCAATATTTTAGTAGGAATGCACTCTGAGGCACTAAAATATTTCCAGTTCTCCCTTTTCCTTCTTTCTCTGTCTCGGTACTGCCTGGAGCAACCAGCTGTGAGAGGGGGAATTAGAAAAATGAGACAATCTGTGTAATGGTATAAACTGGATTAGTCTCCCTCTGTCAATCATTCTCTGGGCTCTTTTGAAGCAAATGAAAACCCAAGTTACAGCCTTCCTTCATGAGCTACAAGGGACATTGCATGAGCAGCAATGACCTGGTGGAGGTGATTAAATGGAACATTTTAGGTACACACTGCTAGCCAAAATCACCATTGACTTAGAAAAACACTAAGATGTGTAGGGGAATTTTAGAGCCATCTGACTGCCATCAAAGCAGGTGAGTTTTACAACTGTTCTACAGAAAACAGCCTCCATCCTTTCTAGAAAACCCTTTCTGATTTCAGTGTGGGAATTGTGTCTTGGTTCCACAGATCAGACACAGCTACTTCTCCTCTTGAAGTACAGTACAAATATGTTAACATTAAAAATAATGAATAAGGTAAAAATCTAGAACTGGCAGCATCCTTTGAATCAATGTTCTTTGTTCATGACAATGTTTTCTCTGATATTTTCTAAAAAGGTCTAGGGTTCACTATTAATGTTTTATTTCCGTTTTTTGGTCACTTTCTTTTAAAAAATTTTACACAGTTGTGGGCTAGGGTTTTTTTTAGATGGAGACATGGAGAGAATATTAATTACATTCTCTGTTTGAAGCCCATGTTCAGACCTTCACAAAGCCAACATTCCAGCTGTTTCTATAAAAAGAAGCATAACTGTGTATATCCTTCAGTTAGCCTCTTTCCCACCTATTTAATAGATGGCCTGAATAAGCCTAATTTGTTTTGTGTCTTTTATTGCCTGCAATAGATACAATTAACAATTATGGGGAATTTACAGTGACACAAGGGCATGACTGTTCACTGCATGAACAGCAGCGGTGGTTGGGTCATATAAATTCTTTTTGTGCCTCTGAAACTTTTTTTTTTTTTTTCTATTTTAAATCAGAGTGGAAACATGATGAGCTTGGGGAGCAGTGTTATGAGAGTATGGTGGGCAGGGTCACACTGCATCCCTGACTGGCTGGGGAGGTGTTGCAGTAACAGGAATTTTTAATGCAAAGCACCAACATGGGTTTGTGCATGTCTGTGCAATATGTGGGGTATTATGAAAGAAGACCCAAAGGTATTTTTTTGAATATTTAACTATCAGATGACAGAAGCAAAATATTCAATAGCTCATGTTTTATATATATGTATATTATACAGCTCTGCTCAGCAGCAGAGGATGAAAATACAAACAAGAGTCTTTCTGGCCAACAAGCTTAGAAAGATTTTGAAGACAAATTACATGAATGTGGTGAAATAAATTTTCACATGTGCCAGCCCAGGATCTCAGTGAACCTGTTCTATCTTCCTGCCATTGGAAAAAAACAGAGTGAGCTCAGAACAAGATCCACCCCACTGGTGCTGTTCTGGAGTGCTCTCACAGCTCCTTGCCTGGACAGAACCTGTGCTACAACACTCACAGCAAGAAGGGAAATCAAGAAAAACCACCTGTGAAGGTTTCATACTACTACTGAATCTCATGATGGGAATCTCCAGATTCTGTAGTACTGAGCACAAGGTCCCTTTCCCCTATTCTCCACATCATATTCCACAACAGTCAAAAAGGTGGATCTCTGCAATACAGGAGTGTGGCAGCTCACCTCCAGTGCTGAGTTACCTTTCAAATGAAAACAATAAACAAGTTTCATGGTGCACTAAACTGCATCAAAACATAACCTTTGCTGTTTTCTGGCATTTCTGCTTTCTTACGCTGATTCAAGCTGGATGATTCGTAGCAAATTTTGCATTTAGCTCCAGCCCTCATACAAACTGCAAGAGGACAGAAAAGCTCAGCAGAAATGTATCTGAGAAGTGCAGTGTCCAAAAGGACGGTGAAAAACTGCTTTGTTTCCCTGTGGCTCTTTGCCTGGTGTGCATGCAGTTATTTAATCAGGGCATTACGAGCCTCTGCCAACGGCAAGACAGATGATTCTAAATGAAGCTGTGCACTCAGTAACAAGGACTGACCAAAGTGCTCCAGTGCTCTGCTTCAGAGCAGGCTCCCCAAGACTATGCTGTAAAAATCATTTACTGGGAAGGCTGTAACCACGTTATTATCACACAAGGCTGACAATTCCTAAGCTTGTCTTCTATAAGCATGCACTAGAAAACAGATGAGCTGTCCTGTACATAGTAAACCACCATTTTTAGTGTTCGCTAGTCCTTGGAAATTCCCTCTTGTATGTGAAGAGAAAGGCTTCAGGGACTTGTTAAAGAGACACCTTTAAGCAATTTGCTCCATATTTTGCTTGCACAGATCCTGACAGTCAGGTCACAGGGCATCAGACCCTCAGCTGCTCTGAACCAGCTTAACTCCACCGGTGACCTGGCTGGAAGAGGCCATGGTAGGATAGAAATGTGCATGATGTACATTCCATGGCTGTGAATTAACTCATCTCCGTTTATAACCAACACCCAGCAATGCTTTCAGCACCACGGACAGAGAAGCTAGCACAGAGCTCCCTTGCCATTTGACAAACTGAAGAGAAACTACCGGACCCCCATGGCGTGCGTTCTCCCTGCAATGGACACAATCAGGATGTACACTGCCTGCTGATAAGACTGCATCCCATCACCAGGCACTGACAGGGAGCAGCACTCTGCTGTGCAGTGCTGTACAGATACACAAGTTCTGCCTCCAAAGACATCCTGATTTAATACAAATCCTTGGAGTAAAAAGGGCAAATTCATATGCAGTAATAAACTTCTGCTTTTGTTAATACTCTTAACGAGCATTTCATATTTCAAACAATATGCAAATACCAAGGGCTAATTGTTAACATCAGCAGCAAAGGGGATGACAGTTTTTCAGCTCCTTCACAGACAGTCTGGCGACTACTGTCATCCTGCCATGCAATTTAGGATGACTGTAAGGAAGCATTACAGTAAATAGAAAGATCTATTTCTTTTAAATCAATGCAAAAGTGTGACCAGCAGTCAGTGTTAGTATTTAAATAGGAAAGATAGGTAGGAATCACCTAAACCATTTACTATAAATAGCGTTTTCCACAGTACTTTAAAAAAGTTGAAGCCTAAGAGCAAACAAAAGAAATCAATTATTCAAATATATAATATAATAATTTTCTGCTTTTCAAAGAACAGATCATGGTCTCTAGATTAATTCCTATTCCTATCTAAATTGTTATACACAGAGAAATATTCTCATTGAACAGAAACTAGTGTGTAGAAGGGCAGCTCAGAGCAGAGCCAGGGTGCACACCTGGACATGGGGTCCTAGCCCTGCCAACAGCCCACTCTGGTGCTGGGTACCAAGCTGTGATTTGGGTGGCAGCTCAATGCTGAGCACATATTTTTGAGCAGAGCAGCTCTCCCGCTCAGCCTGCACATTGCTCTCTTCCAAACAAACCACCTTTTGTTCAAAACTTGCAAGGCATAACCTTTCCTGGCACGTCAGGATACCAGGTTTTATTATCATTATTATTACAAGTGCCGCACTGCACTCAGCTCCCGAGTGCTGGAACAAAACCAGACACAGTTATGAGAACAAGGAAAGCACGTCTGTATCGTGCCAGGGAACCTGCAAAACTGTTGCATGTGTCTGACTCAACCAACTCAGTCAACAGCGATTTCAGTCTTCGAGTCCATTTTAGAAAGTGTGGAGTTTCTCAGTCCTGAATCTGTGCCAGGCACTGCAACAAAACCAACACTGCAACTGAAGCAGCAGTTGGAGAATTACACCCTGTCATCAGCATATGGTAGACAGTAACATAGCCATGAAAAACTGAAGCTAGACGTGAAGTATCATTCCAGAACACAGAGCTCTCTGACAAGTAAACACAGCAGATGCACTGGCTAAAATCTGCTGCCAAGGTGCTGCAAAGCCATGCCATGTTTAAAATCATCCAGGTGAGACTTCACAATTCACATCAAAAGATGGGTGGGGAACCAAGGATATCAGCAACCCCAATACCAGCCAAGTTGAAGGTGTCACAACAGATAGCACACAAATCTTATATTCCTGTGGCCAAAACAAACACTTGATGAAACTTAGAAAATATTTTTCTTGATACTGTTTAGTACAGTTTTTGTAACTAGCTTTTCAAGATCTCTTGCCTCAGTGGTTACCTGGAAAATTACAAGGGGTTTGCAAGCTTATTAGGTTGTAAAGAAGACAGTTCTGCCAGTAAAAGAATAATAGCTGGTATCTTACAGACAACAAGTTCCCATGGATAATGTGAATTGGCAGTGATGTATCTTTTAATTACTCATTCCATCTGCACTTTGGACAGGTTATGTCAATTGCTGCTTCCTGGAAAATTATGATTTCAAGAAAGCTCTCCCAGCACGGAACATTTGTTGAGCTCATCAATACAGTGCAACCACTGAAGGTGTGAATTAAGCGCTGTATTGCTGCACCCTCTGCCTGAGATAACAATAAAGTGATCGTCATCTGTGCTTTCCAAACGTGAAACACGTTAAAGACTACCAACATTTATGAAAACCTCTATATTAAATCCCACCTGCTAAACACCGGGGGAGAGCAAACGTCCCAGTGATCCTCGCTCGGCCACCCGCTCACGGCTCCGGTGCCCGCGCCGCGGGGAAGGCAAGGCTGGAGCCGCCCCGGCCAGGCTGCCCCGCGCCCGGCACAGCCGAGCTGTGACCCCGGCACAGCCCCCTCGCCCAGCTCAGAGGGCAAAACGGTCACACGGACCCTGCTCCCCGAGCGGCCCGAGCTGGCCTCGCCCCGCCGGCAGGACCCGGGACCGCCCGGCCCCGCCGCAGCCGGGGCTCCCCGGCCGGCCGGACCCGCACCCGCGGCCCGCACTCACTTCTGCCCAGCGCCTCCGCCTTCCACTCCGTCTCCTCCACTGCCCCGTAGCGCCGCATGGGTCTCTCGGCCTCGGCGCTGGCCGAGATGGACCGGCGGAGCTCCATGGCCGGGCTCCGCTCAGCCCGTGCAGCGGCGCGGGCGCTGCGCGGGGCTCGGCGCTCGGTGCGCGGCGCGGGGCCCGCGGGCGGGGGGCGGGCAGGGGCTCCGGCACATGCTCAGTGCGGGGCTGGGGCGGGGGAGCCGCCACACAAAGCGATGTCGCACCTCGCACATGCTGCACACACGCCCCGCCCGCCCGGCCCTGCCTCCGCTCGGGTGGGCACTGCCCGCCCCGGGGTGCTGCGCGGAGCTCCGCGCCCGCGGCTCGCTGCTGTGGCACTGCCCAGCCCTGCCCTGCCTAGCCCAGCGCTGCCCTGCCCAGCCCTGCCCTGCCCAGCCCTGCCCTGCCCTGCCCAGCTCTGCCCGTCCCTGCCGTGCCCGTCCCTGCCGTGCCCGTCCCTGCCGTGCCCATCCCTGCCCTGCCCTGCCCTGCCCTGCTCCCCTTGTGCGGCCAAACCGCTCGAGCAGGAGAGAGTTCGCAAATATCCGCTGGCTGCCAGGGCACGGTGGAACTGTCCATCTTGTGACCGGTGCAGCGCTGAGCACATTTCTGACCTGAGCAACTGGGGAATAATGGTAACATCCACAGGCACTCATGGTTTTTGCAGTCTAACACATCTCAGGTTCCTGTGCATGCAGTCTTTGGCTTTCCTAAAAGTCCTGCACAGATTGGAATGACACTCATTCCAGCATCACGTTGCCAGAAGCCAGAGAACAGCACTCAAACAAGTGATGCAATTTTGTGTCTCTCATTTTTCATCAGCATGCAGCTTTGCTGCTTATGCAGCCTGCTGGGAATAAAGGAAATGACTTCGCAGGAAGCACAAGTGCGGTGATTATTACTGTTATTACTAAGTTTTTTCTTTTGTTGTAGGGGAGGTTATATGGATTCAATCCCTGAACAGCATTTTACAGTTGGAGCCTACCTTTCCTAGTAAGATCACATTGCACTTTACTGTGAGTGGTACAACTTCTGACATAAAGACAGTGAAGCAGGGGTTAGGCAGGCTGTCCAGTGCCCTACTGCAAATCAGGGGTTTAACACTTTTTCGCTCACTTATAAAGAATCATGGGGTACTCTGGGAAAGCTAACTTGTTTGTCAACTACTTTTGCCTGCAAAGTCTTGTCCTTAATCACTGACACTTCAAAAACACCACCTCTGGATTCAGTGGTACACTTACTAATTGGACTGGCACACATTGATGCTATTGTGTGAGCAATTTCGTTTGAGGAGTGCTACACATGCCGGAGGCCAGAAAACCTCCACATTGCTTTTAAAATTGTAACTGAGAATTTCTCTACTTGTCTTCCTAAGAACTGGAATTAGCCAACAAGATGAGCTAGACAGTTTTAGGACATCTTCAGGGCACTCTGATTTTTGTCTGTCAGCTGTGCTCCCCAGCGATATGCCATGAATTGAGCACCAGACGTGCTGGAACAGCTCTTGCTGGCTGTGGAGTGCCTCATCCTCACTGCTTTTGGCCTTTAGAGACAGAGCCCAAACAGAGCTGTGAGTCAAGCAGAAAAGCTGGTGGCAGGACTCTGCACAGCTGATTTTGGGTGAGAGTGCAGCTGCCTGCTGGGGTGGGCTGGACTGACTCACTGGTAGAAGTGAGGAATATGAGTGTGGGAGGAATAAGAGTCCATCTGGGATCTGGATGAGAGTGGGACTAAGGGAAACAGGCTGACTGGGGAGAAGGGCCAATTTTTAATGGATCTGAGGACTACTTAATTCCAAACCATCCTTTCAAGTTTTTTGGGTAATTACAACTCAACTGCATTGTTTAGGAGATGGGGGCGTTATCCTAGAAATAGTTGAATATTTAAAGCTATGCTTTTGTTAGTATGGCTGAAAAACACCCACTAGGCAGAAACTCATGTGCAAAGAATTTACTTACATAAAGCAAGGAATATATAAGGTGATTTATTGCAATTACAAAGTTTTCACCTGCCCATTTTGAAAAGTCCCAAAATCCAGTATAGGTCCAGTTCTACAGAGGTTTTGCACAAAGACTTTTGCAAGAGTAGGGCCCAAGTATGTATCAATTATTTGCTAATGTAATATCAGCATTTTTGTTAGTGTGACTCTGGAGCATTGCTGCCAGTGGAATTAAATTTCTCTCCTACTGATGATGTCTTTCAGTGGACCTAGCAACATAAATTATAAATGCATTTCTTTACTCATGAAGGCTGGTTTTCTTCTGCTGAAAGCACTGTTAATGCAGAAAATACAAACATTTGGGTCTTTTTTCGCTGCTCATAACATAATGCCTGGTAGAGAAACAGAGGTGCACTTTGCTCTTGCAGTCATTTTCCCTGGCAGCTTCAGTTCCCATTTCTCACTAAATCCTGCCACCAGGAGCTAGAGCTGGGCAGGAACAGTTGGCAAATCCACTCTCCTATCTCTTGCTCTCTGGCCTCTGTCAGACATCACAGATTCCCCATGGCAGACATGACTTACTTAGATTTATCTCAGCTATTTTTTTGTTTTTTTGTTTTTTTGTATAGAAGGTCAGAATACACAGCACAAATTTGGGAAATGCAGCAGCAAAGAGTCAGGGCATAAATGCCTGGTAGAAAGAATGGAAACAATCTGTGAACTTCAAAAGCTGCAGTTCTGGCCAAAACAGAGATTTCAGAAACATACTTCATTAACTTTTTTCTTTCCCATTTTACTTTTGTCTTAGTGAATTCTTTCTACGTTCACTGTCTTTTTAAGGTAAAAATTTCACAGAAAAAGCTGCTAGACCATTTGTCAGATACATTACTAATACCATGGGTAGTGAAGTTGCCTATATAAGAGTCTTATTTTTGGCATTTGGAGCTAAGTCCAGTGGTATGACTGAGCTGACTGCTGTGCAGGTGAGTCACTATGCAGGTGTCTTTTGCATCAGTGATGGGTGTCCATAGCTACAAAAGAAAAACAGATGTTTGAGTTCAGTAAAAATAGATGTCGACATAAATTGGTCTGGGCTATTTTAGACTTGCAAACACAGCAGGCAACAAGTAATATTTCAGCCTGTATGTGGGCATGCCCATTTTGAAGTAATAAGCATTCTGTGCAAATTTTACAAACATGGCAGCACACAGCTCCAGGCACAGCTCTCTCCAGGCCTGAGCCTTTTCTCATTTCACATAGTCTAAAATGTAATGGTGACTTTCTCTAAGCTTCTATTTTACCTATACAAGTTGGTATCTTACAATAAGAACTCAAAACTGGCTGCAAGCTGTGAGGCACCCAAAGAGACTGTGCCAGTGTCTTGCTGATTCCTTCCCTATGCAATGTCCGTGCTCCATTACCCCTAACAGGCAAGTTCACTTCTGTGAGCCATTTCACTACTCACCTCACTGGAACTGGAAGCTATAAAGTCACTGCCCTGACTTCTGAAAGGGTTTCTTTACAATTTGAATTTCTCTCTATATTTGTACCTGTGTTCCATTAGCAAATTTTGCTAATTTCTACCCCAAAACAGTAAGCAAAACACTGTATGGGTAATTGCCATGAGGTATCAGGTGTAGTTACGAACACATAATAATTCATTACTGTATGGTGACCATTCTGAACTAGATATAGAACTAATACAAAATCCTTCAGTGTCATTGGCATGTCATGGCTAATCAGCTGCAGTTAACAGTCTTGTTACATTTTGAATGTAAAAATATGTGATGCATGAAATGGAAGCAGCTGAACACCCTTGGTAGGTGAGTAAAGGTGGGTTTTAATTCCCAGAGAGATGTAAGCAATGGCAAAACAAGAACACCACAGGGCACCAGTCTCTCAGAGGTAGATTTCTTCAGGCCAGCATAGAAAAGGAAAAAGCAAACAAATAGAGGTGGAAAAAGGAATCATAAAAATTTGTATTTTCTTTCCCAAATATTTGAGCAATGAGAGGAAAGCTGCTATCCTGGCAAATGAAAGAAAAATAATGAGAGTTTGTTCCTGTGCGTGCACACACTAAGTGCATGCTAGCTACAGTAAGGTACTAACTCCAGGGAAGAGTTGTAACTTAAATTTCTCTGCCACCAAGTTACACCCTGTAAAAGGATGCACAATTCAGAATGAAGCTGACACTTCCTCCACAGCCAAAGGATCTCATGTGCTGCAGAACTTTCTGTGCATGGTTTGAGTCCATATGGGCCAAACCCTGTATTTATCTCAGCCATCTGGGTGCTTGTGCATTTTGGTTCTGTTGTAACTGGATAAAGCACAGTGACAGAAATGGGGAACAGTTCTCATTCCCAGCCAGTTCTCAATGTCCCAAAATCTCTGGTGACTGAAGTACCTGATGGGCTACATACCCATGCTCCCTCCTGGTCTCTCTGATTCTGTCAGTCTTGAGGGGGTAAAATGGAAAGGGTGACTTATCAATATCCCATTTTTAAGGTCTTCTGGCAGAGGGAAGCATTAGCATAGGTGTCCCTGTTCCTCACTTACACAAGCCCCAGGTGTGTGCACACTCACCTGCTGCCGTTTTCCCCCTGTTGTTTTACAGCCCCACTTCATGACTGGTTTTCCCTGAACACAGCAAACAAAAACACCCATTCTTCAGTTCCTGAAGCTCTCTCATGTACCCTCTGCTACAGCAGAGCTGTCCTTGACAGTGTCTTTTCTGACCCTACTTCACACCTCATTAGACTTTTCCAGGTCCAAGATTTCTTTCAGCACAAAAAGGTGTAATTGCAACTAGTGTTGCACAGCAGGGAATGACACATTCTGCTACATTCTTTGCACTAAACTGTTTTTCTGTCTGGATACAAGGTGCAAGATTTTTAGGCACAACCACAATACATTAATAAACTGCAAAAAAAAAGGGGGAAGGCAGTGTTTATTAGGGTGGATGATGTTGATAAGCATATGCAACACATGCAGACATGTAATCTGCATTCTTTGGTCTTGTTTAACGTGGATTACAGGAGCTTCAGTCATGGTGGGCTTAGCAAGTGCATGTGAATTCTTAGTGCAACTTGGACATTAAAAGAGGACAGACAGTCCTTGGCTGCTTTAGAACAGCAATACTAGGCAGAGGTAGAAAAAATATTATCTGAGGCATATGTGAAAGTCACTGGGATTAAAACAGCATTACTCTCTCCATTTAGAGGTTGCACAGCAAAAAAAGGGTTTGCAAATGAGCTTCAAGAATGATGTAGCAAAGGGCTAACAGAGCTAAAGCTATTACAGTTTATCCAAGGAATAAACAAAAACTCTGCTTACCACTACATGCACACAGAAGGCTTTGCCTGCTGTACCTAGTTGTTAAATCTTGTCAGAAGGGAGTAACATTTTATTAGAACGTTAAGGCTAGATTGATGTGGGTAGGTAATAAAATTTCATATGAACACATAAATAACTTCTTTGAGACACAGAATCCTCTGGAAGTGTTTGGATAAGTTCCTAGAAGATGGCATTGAAGTCAACATCACTGGTTTGATTCAGGAAGAACTCTTTGCTTTGCACTACCCAAGGATTCTGACTGAGTGATGCTTTTTCTCCCTCTTGGCCTTGAAGTCTATGAAACACAATTTTTCAATTTGAACTCTTTCCATAAAGCTTCCTCCTCATTCTAAATATACAAAAAGTTACAGCAGGGAATGGAGGTGGTGTCTCTCTTCCAGTTGTGGAATATATTACTCCCTTCAGCCTCAAATCTCCTGAACCATTTCCTTCCCAAGGATATCCCACACAAACTTGACTGAGTTAAGTCCTTCAGTGAGGACCCTATTTCTAACCTGTGTTTTCTAGAAAAGTTGTTTATGTGTTTTTCCTACCTAAATTCCTCCATTCCTCCTGCAAATATATTAATTATCTAAAGAAATACTTATATCAAAATTTTGCATCTTTTAAATAAAATTCCACTGGCTTCAGCATAAGACTTTAAAGATAGGAGTTCTGTTCTGAATTTATTCAGAAATGGCAGATGACTTAATATATGCAACTAAACTCTAAAGGGAGTGAATAATCCCTCCTTAGTTTTTACTCTGCTGCTGTGTTAAGGTCTGTGACATCAAATTGAGCTCCTTGCTGCATGTGGTCCATGAGATCCCAAAATAACTTTACATATGATCTGGCTTTGTTTATACACATATGAGTTAAAGCTAGACAGAGGCAAAGAACAGCATTTAATGTTTATTAAGCCTTTGCAAAAACACAGACAATTTCAGTCAACTTGAAATTCATTATTTTAGTAAAATTCAAGTATTTCTTGCACATCTCACTGGATTGGCACTAGCAGTAGAGGCAGCAGCATAAGCAGGAAGCACTGGCACTTACAGCAGAGAATTGGAAGGCTGAAGCTGCATAGATTTCAAAGGTTGTTCTATAAAGAGAACTCAACATATCAGATATGGTAACAGACTAGAGGCAGTTTCACCTTCACTGCAGCAGGAACTGGTTATTTTATGCTGTGTTACCGGGTGGGTGCTTCTGGTGTGAAAAAGACAGAAGCCTTCTGGTGAATTTTCCAAGAAGGATGTATTTAGCATACTAGTAAGCACAGAAGGCTCATTTACATAAAATATTTCAGTAGAAAAATAAATTTTGAAATTTTCATTTTATCAAATTCAGACTCCACCTCTCCACAGCCATCCAGAACAACATGGAGCCGGAACTGATATAAATGTCTGCTCATCCCATTTGCTCTTAGAGAGGATCCACGACATAAAAACATCACCTGACTGCAGGCCTAATAGCTACTGGCAGTGTGTTGCTCCTTCCTGAGCACCTCTGTGATGTAGAATTCTGTTCATCCTGCTGGTTGTGGAAATCTGCATGTTCAGCTGGCAGTAAGATCAGTGCAATTCCTGGAAATAGTCATAAAGCCCTTATGACTGTTTTTGAAAGGGTAGCAGAGAGACATTAAGATAAACCTTGTCCATATTTTTTATTTTTTCTTTTTTTTATTCCCCCAGGAAATTACTGAGTTGTTAGAAGAAGCAAACAAAACTTTACATATGTGTCAAATAGGGTTGGACGAGATGAGCTGGGATGGACATACAGATGTCCTTTCCAACCTCAGCCATTCTGTTATCCTGTGAAATTAATCTTCTAAGCCAAAAAGGTATCAAGGAATAATGAAGGCTCTAACAACTAAGGGATTAAGTCCTCAGACTAAACTGTCAGAGGAAGAAAATCTTTAGAATGTCCATAAATTTATGCGCACTGAGAATTGTCCCAACGCAGCTTCATTATTTTGCATTTTGTGGGTCTGAAATGTTTGTCAGACCAATCAGTGCTCACAATTAAAAGGGAAAAACCACTTTTTTTTTTTTACGTGAAAAGGGATTTGTGTTACTTAGCTGTCAAATGCCTTAAAAGAACCAGAGAAAGTGAAAGGATTATGCAGGATCTAAAGTCTACTGAAATATAAGAGCCACAGCCTTCCATTACATGAAAGAACTGTACTTCAAGTAATAAAAGATGGAGAGAAATACTGAACTCCCCAGCCAGAGAAACCTGAAGACAAAACAGGATTTAGCTCAAATTCCCAAGCAAAAATCTGATAGCACAAAAGCAAGAGCAATAAAGCACAGCTTGTATAAGCTTTTAAGCCATTTAAAATAAAAGATGGATCTTCCATTTATTAGTTAGTCCTGATGAAAAAAGGCATCAGCATTATACAGATCATGAATTATGAATTCTTGATTCATCTAGAAATTCAGTTTCATCTACCATAACCATGAAGAAAGATTTTTGCTCTGAGTTACAGCAAAATATCACATACTGCTTACAGTAAACTAACAACATTTCTCTCTCTCTGTAATGACATTATTTTCCAGTTCCCTTCTCCAAGTGAATGCTATTAATTATTAAACATTTAAGGCACAAGCAGAAATAAAAATAAATAGCATCTTTAAAAAGAAAAAAAGTTAAATACTTAATTATCACACCTTACCTGAAAATTTTAGCTCTTACTAAATAGAACAGATTTTAGAATACCAGTCTGATCCCAAAAATATCAACATAAAAAAAAAACCCACTACTAAAGTTGCTTCTTTATCCTGAGGACTTTATACACACAAGAACAGTTGAACAGCTACAGCTGTCTGAAGCATCTGTTCACTCATTTTTTTAAATAGACAAAATTCAGTAGTTCCTCTGTGCATTCCTCCTCCTCCTGGGATGTCCAGCATCAGCTCAATTCACACTTTGTGATTCATGCAGCAACATCCAGCAGGGGAATTCAACTCACCAAATATAAGTATCTACAAGGAAGGTATTGACACAGCAGCCACTCATCTGAGCCTCCACCTCACAGAGGGGCAGAAATGGGCCCTTCAGTGCACATTTCAACATGCAGGGTTAAACCAACTAGCCAAGCTGGAGATCTCCATGCCAAAGGTGTCAAAAGTCAATTAAAATTAATTCCATCTTGAGGCTGTAGGCAGGTGGGCTCTTCCACATCTGCCTGTGCAGCTGAAGATGGAATTGCAGAGACCTGTCCAACCTGAGAGGGAAGGCACCTCCTCCCCCTGGCTGCCAGCAGAACAGGCTGTGGAAGCAGCCCCCTGCCTTCTACCCTCCTCCACTGCTGCTGTCCCCTGCTCAAAGCCATGTGGGCACTTTGCATCACTCCTGAGCACTGGGTCATGCTAAACAAGTTGATTTTAACTGAAACAGATTGGGCAGTGCTAGCATGATCCCTTTCCCTTTCTCAGCTGAGCAGCACTAGGCTCCTACAGTGACAAATAATTGTTGGCAATATATTAAGCAGTACAACTGCAGGCCAAAAGAATAGATATTTATAGCCTAAGCAGGCTTTGGGACACTATTTAGACAAGGCTGAGGAATTCAGACATTCCTCAAAGGGGTTTATTATTGTTGTAACAGAGGGATGAGTCTTCTCTTTAGAATCAGACCCATTAAATCAGATACTTTCAAGCTTACAATTTAGTAACTTCAAGGAATAAAATCCCATTCTAGTATAGGAAGGGCTCCTTTACTGGTCTGATTTAAGCTTACTGCAATCATAGAAATTTGCACAGTTCCTGTTTTGAGATACATATGCACATTTAAAAAATACCCGTATCCAGACCTGATCCTCAAGCTGACAAAGCAAACCCATAATTAATGCTCACTTTCCCCTAATCTCCTATGTATAATTACCCAGTGTCTTCTATGAATAGGAATGTTTAAAAGCCATTTGAGGAAAAAATGGAAGCTCCTGATATATATATATAGCTGGATTCTCCCATTCATGCTACCTTCCTTTCCATGTTCTTTTTCTTTAAAATTTTAATTACATCTTCAGCATACGAAACAGCTGAAAAGAGTAGAGGAGTCAAGACTCCCACGGCCCTCGAGGAGCAAAGGAAGCAGAGGCTGCACACAGAACCAAAGCTCCCTGCAGTGCTTGGGGGGTTCCACCATGCAGGAGCTGCTTGACTGACCCCAAGGGTCAATGGGCAGCACCCACCCCAAAGGGCTCTGACCAAAGTAATCTTTATTCTCCCAGCTAAGATAAAACATGTACAAATATAATTCAGGTTTGTATATTCCATGAAATAATCAATTTCCTATATAAATTTTCATGTAGAATAAAACACTTTGGCCCCATAGAAATGTGGGCTTTACAAACACAGCACTTTTGTTTCCTCTCAATTAAACAAATTCAATGCCACTTCTTAGATGTGGAATCCATTAAATTTTGTTCTGCAAAGTAATCTTGCATTGATAACAATTGTCAAATCCAACAACTGATGATTTAATGTTCTATACTCCTTTTTCTAGCAATTACAAGTTGCTTGAAAATTAAATTACAGTTAATATTTCTCCCCAGTGAGGCAGTCTGACATGATGTACAAATGCTTACATTGCCCTGTAAGTCAGTTGTTTCCAGATGAGATGCGCTGACAGCATGAAAATAATTAAATGTCAATATACAACTGGCCTCTTTTATGAAAAATAAACAGGCACAAAGACAAACTGTTCCACTGCTTATACTAACCACCAAATGTTGAGATAACTGCTTATTTTAAACACAACATGAGGCTGCAGTGTAATTTACTGACTTTCACAAACCCAGTTTAGCAATTCAGAATGTGTTCAGAAGTAAAGTTCTTATTTGTCTGATGATTCTTCATCTGCATTGACCTTCTCTCCTTGGAGCCACATGAATGCTGACTTTGCTGTGCCATCTCCACTCTGTTGGGAAAAGCAAATGAAGGAAGCCCAGACAAAGCCACAGAGCCCAGTGTAAGCTGTTCTCAGGTGAACTGGGATCAGGATGAAGTTTGACAGCTGTGTGGGAAGGAGAGAGAGCTCAGTTAGTGCTCCAGGCACTGTTACCCACCCAACACCTGCTCTGCTCCTCCTGGGGTCAGACACAGCGTGGACAGGACAGGATCCCAGGTTCTACAGCAGGGAAAGGCTCACAGAGTCACCCTGAGAACTCACCTGCACAAAAGGCCAGTACATCAGTCCTGTCTGAAAGGAAAACAAATCATTTGTTATTCTTATGGATTTCAACCACCAAGATTCATTTTTTCACATTCAGTGATGACTGAAATGTATTTGAGTAAAGTTAATAAAAGCTGTTCAATTATAAATGGAGTTGCTTAACCTAGAGGTTGCAATATTAAACTTCTAATGATCTTCATGAGCTTCTATGCTTTGAGTTTTTCAAACACATTATTTTAACTCATTTTAAATACAAAACCCTGAGCACAGTTAATTCTTCACAGACATCTGACACCAGACACAATAAACGCATTTACCAGATGGGTGAACAAATGTTTGAGCATGTGAACATTTGTTTCAGCCATTAATGAAAAATACCACTGAACACTATTTATTTCACACTTGCAATGCTCCTTCTACTTACTCATACACGTAAGGCATATTTAGAAAAATCAATGGATAATTTACTCATAGAACATAAGGCTGATAGAAACCTTATGTTTTGATAGGCTATAGTGGGCACTGCTTTTAGCATCATCTTCCATAGGAATAAAAAAAATCCTTTTCCATCCTACCTATACAGTTCTACAATATGAAGAGAAATTCACATTGCAATCACATCTTCTCCTGTTACTTTTTTTTCTCCCTGCTAATCCATCCATCATTCTTTTTGCATCTGAGAAACCTTTAATATTCTCAGCTTGCTCAACTCTGAGGCAGCATAGATAATTTTGTCTTGTGTATGCAGAAATGCAAATCAAAGCCAGCTGTTTACAGCAAAGCCTTCTTAAAAGAAGGGGGCTTGTTTCTGAAAGTGAGAAGATTGTCACTGAAAAGTACAGGCTAAAAATGATTCTCAAAGCAAGTGTCTCTGTAATTAATTCTTTTAATAGCTGTACAAGTGTTGTCAATAGTATCACTAACTGAACACTGGTGCGTGGGTAGTTCCTAAGACAAAAGATAAAAAAACCCAGAATCAATGTTGTATTGTAGGGCTGTCATTCAAACAGAGCTGGGTGCAACTGTTATGTATATAAACACTGTACATTTCAATTTTTAAAGGCATAATTTCACCCATATGGCAGCACTGCCCAACCCTCACTGCCTTTACTTCACATGACTGACTTAAAGCTTGGAAGGAGGGAAGGAAGGAAGGAAAAAAAAAGTGTTGGAGGAAGGAATATTATCCTTTCTTTGTTCTTGTTTAGCTGTGACATAAGTAAATTGCTTGCCTCACCTTATACGTATTCCAAAATTTCTTTTTACAGTCTGAAAAGATGTCCTCTTTCCTCTGAAGGATGCTCATACCTAGTGGTAAAATATTTACAACAATCAGAAAAAGTGCAAAAAATGAAATGTTCAGATTTTGCAGTGACATCCCAGACCCTTCTCAAAATACATTATAACATCTTTGAAAGAAAAGCTGATATTGTTACACAAATACCATTCTGACTGCCTAATAGTGGTACATGAAATCTCCTCATCTATGGACTTGACTCCCAGCACAGGCACCCGGGATCAGCTGGGATTTACTGGGTGTACAGGGGTTGTGGCATCTGTGCCATACCACACACCACTGGTGTAGCGGTGGAACAGAAAGGATAAAAGCACCTTTTGCACCCACAAGAGAGAGAATAAGGCATTTTGCACTTAAGCAGAGGCTCCTTAGTCTGACTCTGGGATCTTTCTGGGTATTCCCATGCCTTGGGGTTATCAGTCTCAATGGATACATTATTTTACTGCTACCCAGTTCAGGGACTTTTACTAGCCCTTTTCTAGTCCTTCAGATCCTTCTGGTCCTTGAGCAATTCTCAGCTTAAGTTGTGACATAGTTAAGATCTTGAGTGGAAGTATCTGGTGTTTGATTTTTTTTCTTGCTTCATTTCTCTTCAATCACAAATTGAGTAATTTCCCTGATGGAGTGATAGAGTGCAGATCTCCCAACCCCAGACAAAAAGAGGACCAATCTTACTCTTCTACCACATTAAGTTAAATGAGAGCATTTAATTACATTAGTCTCACCTATTAATTCTCTTATTCCCTCATGTTTATTTCTGAAATAGATACTAGACTTCTTTAAAGTATCTTGTTACTTGTTAGCTTTTCAGATTAGCCATTAGTAGCATGCTTTATTTCTATAGACTCTCACAACGGAAGCTGGTTCGCTGAACGATGGCATTTCCTGACACACCTGTGTTTTGGAAAATGAGACAGCTGATGCTGAGAACAGAGCACAGCAATTCAAACAGACATGGATGCTGCAATCCTTGTAAGGTGCTTTCCATTCTTTGCTGCTAATTAAAAGCTACGCGCCCGACCGAGCTCCGGGCCTCCTTTGGTCCAGCACCCCTCCTGGAAAGCTCTGAAGTGCCACAGGCGGTTCAGCGCCCGCGCTCCCCGCGGGCATCCTCGGAGGGAGCTGCGGGGTCTGCAGAGCCCCGGCCGCGGCCCCGCTCCGACGCCCGGCCAGCGGCGCTCTGGGGTGCGGGAGCCGCTCCGGGCGGCCAGGGGGTCCCCAGCCACCCTTGGCGTGGATGCCGGTCCCGCTGCCCGCCGTCCGAGCCAGGCGCGGGTCGCGGAGCGGGGCCGCTGCCGGGGGAGGCGGTGGCCGGCGGCTGCGCGGGGCTCTGCGGAGCAGCCCCCGGCACTCACCCGTGTAGAAGGCGAGGACGGCGACGGGCGCGCCCAGCAGCTGATCGCAGAGCACCTTGCCCAGCACGGCGGGCGGGCGGCGGCCGGGCAGCGCCCGCTCCAGCGCCCGCAGCCACACGTAGCTGAAGTTGCCGTGGAAGGCCAGGGCCACCAGCGCCACGCGGCGCGTCTGCGCCCAGTCGGGCGGCTGTCCCCGCAGCAGCTGCTGCGCCGCGTCCCCCGCCGCGAAGAGCCCCCCGTAGAGCAGCACGTTGCACAGCCAGGGGAAGCGCCGCACCCCGCGCAGCAGCGCCCCGGCCATCGCCCGCCGCCGCTTCCGCCGCTTCCTCCTCCTCCTCCTCCTCCTCCTTCTTCTTCTCCTCCTCCTCCTCCTTCCCACGGGCCCGCCCGCCGCCGCCTCGCCATCCCCGCGGCCCCGGAGCGCTCCGGGCGCGGGCCGGCGGCGGCCGGGTCTCTGTGCGCGGCGCTGCCCCCCGGGCTGAGGCGGCTTTGCCCGCCGGAGCTCTGGGGCAGCGGCGGAGCTCCCGGGCGTGTCCCCCTCGGCCCCCACAGCCGCCGGTGTGACCGGCATCCGTGTCCCGGATCTGGACCTAGGCAGCATAACTACCAGGAAATGCTTCAGGAGCGGGTTTTTTGCTTTCTTTAAAAAAAAAAATGATGGAGCATATTTCCCGTCAGCGTTAGCCCCACGGGCCCGCCCGCCGCCGCCTCGCCATCCCCGCGGCCCCGGAGCGCTCCCTGCGCCGGGGAGGGCCGGCTCCCCACGCCGGGCCCGGGTGGGTGGTGGATGGCCCCGGGTGATGGCAGGGCAGCCGGGCGTCAGCTCGGGGGCTCGCTTCTCAAGTGCCTGTGCATTCACCCCGAAGATGTAGGTGACTGTGTCACCTGTGCTTTGGCCTAAGTAGCACTATGGGGTCACTGTGCACTAGTGCCGCAGCTATTGAGTGACAAATGAAAACTAGGCACTGTTTCCTTATTATCTTTTTTTGTAATCATTTCCTTGTTCCGTGCTTACATAAGCAGGTTTTTCTTTTCAGTTTTGCCCGTTTTGCAGTCTGAGCAGGGCCGATGCACACCTCTGAGCAGCAGCAGCCCGTGGGGCTCCTCTGCTTTGCCCTCTGCTGCTGAGACAGCTTGAGGAGAAAGGCAAATGGTGTGAGGTTATTGAAGAGACTCGTGTACACAGCTTTGTACACACAGAACCAGTGCCACAAAGCGGATCTGAAGTCCTCACGTAGTGAGGTGACACTGAGTAGTGGCAGCACGTAGTGAGGTGTCCTGAAAGACCTTGGCCACGGAAGGAAAGGAGCGCGTCCGGGAGCGCCGGGAGCTTCCCCTTGCTCCTGGCAATGAGCTCAGGCTTGACTGAGGGAACCATCTCCAGGCAGGAGGTGATAGTTCGCTCTGTGACCTGGATTAGTGCCTCTGAAACTATCATGAATTCTTCCATGAACAACTAAAAATAGGCATGGATGGCTTGTAGACCCAAGTAAAATGTAATAAGCGTGCAGAGCGCTCTGCGCAGCGCTCGGCGGACACGCTGTGCCAGGGCCCGGGGCTGCCCCTCCGGCCCTCATATCGACACACCCCTGCGCAAACAACGCCAGCTGCAAACAGCGCTATTAAATAACAGCAGTGCCACTAATAGGACGAGGGATATGTACTGAAAAGTAACTCCAGCTTGGAAGAACACAAATAAAGCTCAGGAAAAGCCCAGGGTCTCCGGGGGCTGCTTGTCGGACGGGAGCCCACAGGCAGGTGCGTGCTGTCCGCCGCGGTGGTGCAGCGTTCCGCCGCGGGACCCGTACGCGGAGGAAAGGCTTTGATGCCCCCGTAGGCGACAGCGGGGTGACAACCGAGAGTCTCGCGAATGCTGGAGCCATGCAACGCCCTGCCAGGGTCCGGCCTGCCACAACCCGCCAAGGCGGGGACTCGAACACGGGTACTCGGAGCTCCGCTGCAGAACCGGCACCCATCATCACTCGGATCGCGCTCCCTGCACATGCGCTAAGATCTGTCACTGACCCGGGCTCTCTCCGGGACTGTTCCATCAGCTGGCGTGGGGGGGAAGGACCTCAGGCGGTGCGCGGAGCGAAGGGCCGGCCCCGACCTCGCCGCGCCGTGCGCAGTGTGCCCGCCGCGCATCCCCCCGCTGCTGCGACGCGGTGGTGCGTGCGGCGGGGGGCGGGCCGGTTGCCCAGGTGAGCGCGCGAGCGCGGCCCGCCCCGTGCGGCCCCGTCAGCGCTGCCAGCGTGGAGCGGCCGGGGCGGCAGCGCCGGGCCCGCGGCCATGGACGGCTCTCTCGAGAAGGTCTGCGGGGCAGCGCCGCGGGGCCGGGACCGGGACCGCGCCGCGAGCAGCGGCCGCGGCGGGTGTGGTGGGGCCGGGGCCGCGGGGAGGGGCGCGGGCCGGCGGCGGCCGGGTCTCTGTGCGCGGCGCTGCCCCCCGGGCTGAGGCGGCTTTGCCCGCCGGAGCTCTGGGGCAGCGGCGGAGCTCCCGGGCGTGTCCCCCTCGGCCCCCACAGCCGCCGGTGTGACCGGCATCCGTGTCCCGGATCTGGACCTAGGCAGGATAACTACCAGGAAATGCTTCAGGAGCGGGTTTTTTGCTTTCTTTAAAAAAAAAAATGATGGAGCATATTTCCCGTCAGCGTTAGCCTTCAGCAGCATAGGAGAGAAAATATTACTAAATAACTTATTATTTTCCCCATTTTTAAAATTGCAATGGAGGCGTTGGCTGCCCCGTGTTTGCTCTTGTGGCGGTGCAGTGTCGAAGGCAAATATTGGCTCTGCGGTGCCCGGGCTGAGCCCGTTCGCTCTGCCGCCCCGAGGCTGCTCCCAGCTGCCCGCGGTCCTGCCCCGCGCGGGGCCTGTCCCGTCCCTCGGTGGCTGTCGGACACCGTGCCTCTGGAATAACGAGTGCTTCCTCTGCTGAAGGCTCCCAATGCACACGCCCCTCCTTGCGTCACTACTATATGCAGCACGCTCGGTTTTATGTGATCCTTGGGGTGGTCCAGAGAAATGTGAATGGGGTGTGCGCCAGTGAAATGGTTGGGAGATTGGGGAAGTATCTTTCTGACGTGGCTGATGGGTTGGTGGCAAAAAAAGTTTGGTATATTACAAGCTTTCTGAAGAATACACTGTTACAGAGTATTTGTTAGTGTTTAAAAGCTTAGGTTCTTTACTGGTGCTGACAGAAGTGACTCCTGCTTGTTCTGAGAAATTTTAATTGAGTAAAATTTCACTGGAATAGTTTGGAGTATGCTGTCTATGAACTGGACTCAAAGAGAACCCTGGTATGGTACAGAGTTATTTAAAGAACGTGCATTAGTACAGGGCAAGTGTAGTACTGACCAAGCTCTTTGCTTGACTAGTTCATCATAAGAAGCAATAAAGACACTGCAAGATTGAAATACCTAAAAGATGTTTTGATTATTCTTGATGTGAGGAATAGCCTGTAATGGTCTGCAAAAACTTGCCTGATTTTTCCATATATACAGATAAATACGTGTCAAGAGTTATCATTTGGTTTACTTCCTCTCTTGTTTATCATAGCTTTTTTCCACATGTGTGATAAAAGCTGTAGTTCTCTGTATAATAAAATGCCATAATACAATTATGGTCTTCTAGATATTTAGCAGTAAGTGCCCTCCTGGAATAGTCTTTGGTTAAGATTGTGGTAAATCTGTACAATTTGCAGTTTATCAAATCTTGAGCATGACATGTCAGGATTCTTCTCCCCCAAATATATTTAAAATTCCTCCAAGCTGGGATACATTTTTCTGCAGAGAATGTCTGTCCACTTATCTCATGGACATTATTTAAGCATTATCATAGTAGATTTGAGACTGTCTTTGATTTGAACCATGGATTCTCTCCTTGCTGTGTATTTGTGCAGGGTGCCAGTGATGTGATAAGTACTTTTTAACTTGTATTAACATTTCTTGCAACTTTGTATTTTTCATAACCATTTTGACACTATCACCTAATGAGCTGTAATGCAGTGACATTGGGTGACTGTAGTTTTTAGGGTCTTGCAAATGCAGTCTTTAGGGTCTTGCAAATGGAAAACTTCCTGAGAATTGAAAACATTGCACAGTAGGACTGCAGTGAAAATTATTGCAGAATCTGACTCACAGGTGTGCACACCAAACATGTCTTGGTTTGATTTTGCAAATTAACTTTGTTTCAGCAGCTTTTTTTTTTTTATTATTATTTTTTAAGGTATTGGTCTCATAAGTGATGTAATTATGACTAATTTTATCTGAAATTCAGTAATCTTTTGTTGGGCTGAACTTATTTAAATAATTCTGGAAGTCTGTGTTAGATTTCAAAAGTTTGCCTTAACAGAACTATTCTATTTTTTTTTTTCCCATTTGGATTTTGATAGAAGTGACCAATTTTCTGAAGGATTTTAAATTTCAAGTTAGGTGACTTTGTCAATGGTAAAACAGTGCAAATTCTTTCCTTGTAACTTCTTGCTATCTCTACAGGAGTATTTTCCCTAAACATGTAAAAAACTGTTTTGGTTTCTTGCTCAGCCTGTGGCTCTTGTCTTTTGTTACTCTGCTATTTACCACAACATCCTGGTAAGTTTACAGGAAACTCAGGCAGCCAAGCTGCATTAAGGTCCTGGCACATGTCAGGGCAGTAAATAAAGATTAAAAGAGTGCATATCTGTAAGCAGAAGCCTTGTGATGACACAGTGTCATTTTTATTCAAGCCCAACAGTCATGAAGTGTCTGGTTTTTTTGTTATCTTAAATTTTTCTTACCCTGGAGAATAAAAAAAATATTCTTTTGGCTGAAGAATACTGGTATTGTTTGAGATTAATTTACTGTTGAGAAGAGGTTTTTTTTTTTAATAGTAAAGCCTTCTTTTAAGGTGTTATAGTAATGTAGTGGGAAAATGAGCTCCCATGAAACAGGGAACGAGCTATACCTGTGAGCTGCTTCTCACAACATTAGTTTATGTGAACTGTTTAAAATTCATCCCTTTATTTCTTTAGGAGTGCAGCCTACAGGAACGCAAAAGCAAGATTGGAAAACATTAGTATAGAAGCAGCATTCTCCCTTTTTAATTTGCAATTAATTTTCAGTCTTATCACAGTTGGAGAATGGCCCCTTATCCTCTCCCCAGTTGCCAAGTGACTCCAAGGTGTGACATTCTGCCTGTAAAATCATGAGCAGCTCACAGTTCAAAGTACTTAATGAAATAGTAACAGATTAGTTACAGAATAGGGAAGTGACTACAAATCAAAGCTGTTGCAGGATAACCTCGGGAGCTGGATTAACACATTGGAAGGCAGTGAATGATAGAAGTGGAAGCAGGCTGAGTGAGGTGTGCCAGGGGCTGAAGGAGGCTGGGATGTGAATGGACCCCTAGCAGGAAAAAGCCATGGCTGGTGCCTCCTTAGAGCTTGGAAGGATTTGTGTGTCTTGGAACTGCCCTGGCCAAAGGCTGCCTGTGATCCAGGGGAAGGACTGAGTGCAGAAACTTCCTGCAGCTCCTTTAACCCCCTGAACGCCTGTGCTGTCCTGTAATTCAGGAGGGAGTGTTCAAGAACTCCTCTACAGTCGTTTTCAAAACCTGTTCAAGACCATGAAAAAAATACTCTATTACTGCTGTTGTTATTCAAGTGTGTTCAGAAACCTTTCTTAACTTAATGGTTTGTTGCTGCAACTTTGCCACACCTATTTTTCTTGCTGCTTAAAAGAAGCAGAAAGTCTCCTGCTTCCCAGCTCCATGACCTTACTAATGTGAGCAGAGGAGGAACATACAGAAGGTTCAGCGTGCAGCAGGTAAAGGAGGTGGGCTTCTTCTTCCAGAATTCAGAGGAGAAAATAAACTGCTGCATATCCACTTAGCAATTGGAAAAAATCAGAAGGGATTAATTTTCCAATTCAGCCCATATCAGAATTCGAAGACTTTGTGGATTTCATAGCATTTTTTGGAGCTTAGTGTAACTTAGGAGTTTCAAAGCTGTATTTTATGTAGTTATTCTGGCAGCTTATTGGCAGAAGGGTTTCATGTGTGTGTAATTAATGAGACAGGATGAGTCACAAGGTAGGGATGTGCAGTTTTAAACATCTGATGTCATTTCAGCTGGTGAATTTTATGTTAGTAGCAAACAAAAGCAGCTCAGAGCCCTTTTTATAATGGCTCTACATCTTTGAGTCCTCATTTACAACAGATCTGAATTTTTGCATGTGATGCTAAGGAAGGTTCAGACAAGTTACTGCCTTCCAGCCATTAATGATGTTTTATGGCAGCCTGAATTAAATTATGTGAGATAATCACAATCAGTAGATTGTGATCATTTACTCTCTTAAGGGCCTGCAGGAACAAAACTGATTTTTTTTTTTTCCAAACTTCTTTCCAGAGTTTCTTTGACATGTTGCAAGTCTGGAAGCCACTCAAAATGTATGAACATATTGCCAAAGATAAAATTTATATTTTTCCTTTGGTTATGTCTGTTTTCTTCGGAGTATTGAATGCTTGCAGTGTGTGTTGGGTTTTTTAAATCTGTGATGAGGTCTGGAACTTTTTGTATTTGTACTGCTTTGTCACTCAGTGCTTAATTAGGTTGTGGTCTTCATACCTGGTGGGTTTTGTACAAGTTAGCGTAGAAGTGTAAAAACCTATTTATTGCTGAGTGCTGGGAGTTCTGATGGTAAAATATTACTCAGCACTTGCTCTATTCTTTTGTTCTTCCCCCAAACATTTGTTACTGGCCGCTTCCAATGCCATGGAATAGAGAATTTTCAGTCTTGGTCTGATCACTGTGCCCATGCCTGGTTACTGATTCTTTCAGCCACCTACCACTTGCTGTAATGTGAGTTAAATCTCAAAATATTTGGTTAAAAATAGTCTTTGAACATATGGTAACTCTCAACTTAATTTTTTTTTTCCTTTCTTGATCAGTCCTCCGGATGAAAATAGTGTAAAATCCTCATGTAAATTAATCCCACTACCTTCTGTGATTAAATTTGCTTTTGTGTCTGCATCTTCCTGAGTAAATGCATTTGCCTGTGGGATTTTCTTCTTTAAACAACTCCTGTCTCTCCCCCTGTGCCCCCAGCCTTAGCAGCAGCCTGCAGGGGTAACCACCAGAGTCTTTGGTACGTGCCTGATGGCTTGGTGTTGTATTTATGGAGGTGAGACAGGGAGCAGGGACTCTGTAATGGGGTCACCTGAGTATCTCAAGAGGTTTTGCCATCTAACATGATGGGACTTAGCAGTGGTGTTGCCTTCTCCCCTCACACTGGGGTATATTTATTTTTAAATATAGGTAAATCAGGCTCTGCCAGATGGCACCTTCCACATTCTCTGGAAGCTTCAAATGGCATCTAATCCTTAAATGGATAAATGCTCCTGTCCAGGTGTCTGGTGTCAGTGTCACAAGCTTCTGTCAGGCCTCTTGAGTTAAAGTTTATGGAAGAGGCTTATTCACAGCCAGAGCAGTTCTTTGGGAAATACTTTGAGCTTGTCATTGGTTTGGGGCAAATAAGTTCCATGATTTTTAAACTCCTCCATCCTGGCAATATCTGTGGTTACCTGAGTTCAGCAGTGAAATCAGGATTTTTGGCCTGTTCTGTGCAGCTGGAGGATAATTGCTGCATGTCATCCTGTCTTAGCTGCCTGCTGCAGGTTAGTTTTACTCTTGTCTACATGAAGGGAATTTCTCCAATTAGTTAAGATTAAAAACTGGTTTAAAGGTACAAGAAATAGGAAAAAAATAAATTTACAAGGGTATTTGGACTGGGTGTTTTCTCATCAGTTTTGAAAACTACCATTGTAAAGGTCTGCTGGGGAAGTTGCAGGGAATGCCATTTTATTTCTCATCTAGGGCAGTCTCAAAGGATACTTTCTTCTCTTTCTAGATCCAAATGTTGAGGTTTTAACCCCTTCTAGGATTTATTAGATTGTAGAGACAGTAGTAAGACAAATGGGTTTTGATCTTTTCTTGAAAGTTGCTGTTTTTTTCCTAAAAGATGGTGGACCCTACTCTAGCAGAAATGGGGAAGAATCTGAACGAAGCAATGAAGATGCTGGAAGACAATCAGAGGTGTGTGCAAAGCATACAATAAAAAACAATAGCTGTTTGTGCTAAGGGGAGGATTATTTGTGTCACTGGCATTAAGCAGAGAAACCCCTCATTTTTCTGTGGTTTAAGGTCACATTGTCATTCTGAAGCTTACACCTATACAAATCATCTTTGTTTCTCAAATGCTGGGATTTTTAGAGTAAATGTGTACATATTTATGCATGTTCTCTAATACCCAAAACAAGTCTGTTTCTCAAAGTTAGGATTTTTTTGTTTTATTATTGCAGTGCCAGCAATTTTTGGTTCCTGTACATACAATATTCTACTCTAAGCTTTCTGTTAGAAACTGAAAACCTCAACAACTTGAAACTTTTTAATTCAGTCTGAATGAAACTTATGTGTCGATCTCATCTGGTTTATTTCTGAGCTATTGTCAGTGAAATAGATATGTGTCAGTATGCATTTCTACAAGTCAAAGTCAATTACATATTTGATGTTATCAAACACAAGCTAAATACAGAGTTTATTCTGTGTCTTTAACTTAGGAAAGTGGAGGAGGAAAATGAAAAGAAATATGCACGGAAGGATATTCCTGGACCACTCCAAGGCAGGTAGGCAGCAGCAATTTTTAGATAATGCTCTTTTCAAAATCTTAAACTACACATAGCATGTTTGTCTTCCAAGCAATTTGCATTAATGGAAAAGTTAACATTTTTCAGGCATCATAATAAACTTTTTCCCATACTCACATGGGGGAAAAAAAGTAATATTATAATCCTGCCAACTATTTTCATTCTCATGTAGAAAAGAGAAAAAAACATTACTTGTCCTCGGTGACTGAAATTTTGAACTCTTGGAATCTGATGAAGTAGTGGTGCCTACAACTATGATTGTTTACTCAAAGTAAACATAAACTTCTGATAAGGTAAAAAAACAGTAAAAAAAACCCCACCAAAACAAAACAAACAAAAACCCCAAAACAACAAAAAAACCCCACCAAACCCCAGGAACCTCCCACCTTTTCAGCACAGCTGTCTTTAGAAATTAAACAGAGCTCTTGTCCATAAGGCAGGTAAGACCATTGTACCTGAAAATGAAGATTTAAATTGGTTGTGTCCTCTCTGGGAGATGATCCTGCAGGAGCTCAGGCTAGCACTTCAGAAAATATTGCAAAAGCTAGTTAAGTCTCTGCTGTGCAGAAACTAACCCTGGTTTTGAGTGGAGACACTGAGTTATCTCTTCTATGAATAAAAAGCAATTTCAACTATCAGTGTAGGTTCTTACACTACTGTTAATTTTAGTTGGAGTTAGAAAAGTTGAGGTGGATCTTTTCCAGCTTTACCATGTCATGTGAGAAGTCTAACATAGCTTGTGTCTGCCAGAAACTGAGATTTGTAGGGAATTGTTTAAGAGATGACCTGAGGCAGGTTCATGTGAAGTGAAATGTGAATCCTTAGCTACTGCCTTGGTTAGCTGTGTAGCAAAAAGAATTCAATGTTGGCAAGTCAGGCTTTTCAGACCAAATTTTCAGGTATCAGTAGATTTGGTTTTCTGAGTCTCCTGCTATAAGCAAGTAGGGTTTTGAGTTGATTCAGCATCCTCATCTTTGTGATCAGTTTTGCTGAGACCAAGGAACCATTTCTGTTGCGGTACTCAGCATTCAGTAAAAGTGGAGTGTCCCAGATTGCCTCTTTTAGATGCTGCTGTTTACCTGCCTGTGTCTCTTCAATGTGGTTTTGTTTCCCCTCCCAGTGGCCAGGATATGGTGAGCATACTCCAGTTAGTTCAGAACCTAATGCATGGAGAGGAGGAAGAGGAAACTTCACAGTCCTACAGGTGAGGCCAATATCAGTGACTGGATGTGGAGACACCTGATTTTTTAATATTCTGATCACTACAGAACTTATCCACTTAAGTTCTGTATGTGTTTCAGTATATATAATTTCTCTATATTTTTTAGTATATATACTTATATGCATAAGTATATATATTATGTATTTTAAAGTGTAAAATATTGTACAACCAGGTAACTTTTTAAAGGCACCTTACATTGCATAGTGAAGCAGAATAATGCATGAGGCTTAGCTTTCTTAAAATTACAAAGCTTCCATTACTAATTGCTAAATTGAGTTATACAAGAGAAATGTTTCTCATGTGACAGCTCATTTTTTCCACTTCCTCAAAGTTGTTTTAAGTCTTAAAGCTTTCAATACCAATAGATTTTGATCGTGTATCTCTGAAGATTTTAAAATGAAAGGAAATAAAATTTGTTTCCATTTTTCAGTAAAATGGAAAAGGTACTAACTGATCTGCAGAGGATTATTGAAAACTAACATTCAAAAAATAAGTTCAAGGTTTTAAAAAAAACTCCAAAAAACCAAAAACGAATAAATAAAATAACAACCACCAAACAAAAAAAACCCTAATAAAGAAAAGCTGTGCCTCCAAATATTATTCAAGGTTTTAAAAAAACTCCAAAAAACCAAAAACAAATAAATAAAATAACCACCAAACAAAAAAAACCCTAATAAAGAAAAGCTGTGCCTCCAAATATAGTAATGTAAATGTCCTGAGTTTTCTGTGCATAGGAGAGAAGGGCATTAATGCACTTTCAGGTCCCAGTGCAGATAAGGTGCTTAGTTCCAGCTCATGTTGGCTGGCTCAAAAGCAGGAGCTGTTCCTGTGAGCAGCTGGGCCAAGTGAGGTGCTCTGTGCACACTGGCAGCTTAGTGTGTCGTACACGAGGGTGGCTGTGATCTACTGCACTTCTCTCTGCTAAACATTTAAATTGCAAGTCAACAAATTCTGCCAGTCTGCATTAAAAATCCATAAAGCCCATTTTGCTGTAATGCTCATGACTTGTTTTGATTGGCAGTTTCTCTGTTCTGGCTTGCAGACTTCAGAACGTTGGTGAACAGGGTCACATGGCTCTACTGGGACATAGTTTGGCTGCTTATATATCTGTGCTGGACAGGGAAAGACTGAGAAAACTTACAACGAGGATCCTTTCTGACACTACTCTCTGGCTCTGCAGGCTTTTCAGGTGAGTCCCTGGGAATAACTGCTGTGACAAGGTAGTGATAATGCTTAAAAATGGATGTGATTGACTGAGGATGTCAACTAAAGAAACCACCATGTCACAAACTTAGAAATCCTTGGAAGGTCTGAACGCAGCCTTAACCTAGCCTAAAGAATATCAGGTTGCATTATCTTTAAAATTAGCAGTCCAGAATTTAAATCTGTATTAAAACCAGAATGAAGCCTTTTGTGTGATTCCTCCCACACTCCACTTTTAGTAAGCAAGGTTTTGAACTCTCTAAAGGCAATCTTAAAGGAACACAGATGTTTCTTTCTTTCTTTTCTGAGTTTAAATGAAAATATATACTAGGCTTCTCTCATTGTTAATCTCAGCCTGTCTTGTAAAAGTTTTCTTTTAATCTACTTTAACCTGGGAAAATAGAAGGTTTTTTATTATCTTCTCCATCCTGTGGCAAACTTTTTTATTGGTCAGTGTTATTCTAGTCCTTAAACTGACTGATGGTCTTGTTGCTCATATTTACTTGGCTTTTCTTGCAGGTATGAAAATGGATCAGCCTATTATCATGAAGATGATCGTGAAGGTCTCCTAAAAATCTGTCGACTTGTAATTCACACCCGCTATGAAGATTATACACTCGAGGGCTTTAACGTGCTCTACACTAAGCAGCCTGTCATATACATCAGTTCTGCAGCCAGGACAGGCCTGGGCCAAGCTCTCTGCAATCAGGTAAAGTCAGCCAGGGGGGTTTTACTGCAGTTAGAACCTTCATATTGCCTGCATAGCTTTGGGGATTTTAGCAACTTATTTTTCCTCATGGTGGAAATAACAGCAAAGGAAGCAGAGTCCATATTGGGCATAACCTCAGCTGTAGTGGACCATACATTTAAAATAAAACCATTTGTCTAGGAAAAATAGTTTATTTACAGCTTGTGTTTTGCAGTAGTGATACAGTGGGAGGAAGAGAAATTTTCTGAATATTTCCAGTGAAATGAGTGATTATTTCTAGGTTGCATTGTGATTTACATAAGCTGGTCATGTGAGATAGACCTGAGCCCAAACATACATAATTTGTCCTGTGCTTTTTCCTTATTAATTTGATTATAAGTTTTAGCAGAAAACTTACTTTATAATATAATACTAAGGTTTCTATTGTCACACTGATTTTTTGTGTCACTCTGTATTTGTGAACATGTGAAAAGAGTATTTCTCAGTGGAAATTCCATAATTTCTGTTGCAGTTAGGGTTGCCCCTTTCCTGCATGTGCCGTGTGCCTTGTAACACTATGTTTGGATCTCAGCATCAAATGGTAAGTTTCTCTTCTCTAATAGTTCTTTCTGTGCTTTGGTTGGTTTTTAAGCCTCATTAAATGAATATCAAGTATGCTGTTAGGAAAAGCTGTTAATGCATTTACTTCTTCAACTTCTAAGTCTTTCGTGTTAAAGCCCTCCAAATCATAAAATGGAAATTTTCTAAAAGCAGTTTGTGTCTTGGTCTTGTCATTTGCAAAATATTTTAATGGCTTTTAAGTAAAGTGCTTTTTAGTGCAAGATTTCTAGAATAGGAGTAGTTGGAGTACTTTCACAAGCTACATGGTGTATTTGTGTTTTATTTTTCACAAATGCTTTATTCATATTATTTTGCCTTTGAGAGGAAGAAAGTGCAAGCCAAAACCAAAGACATTGAGAATGTTTCCTTTCAGAATTTCAGAATGCTCTTCATTTGCAATCTTAATGCATTTTCCCAGTTCAGCATAAACAATTCAGTGTTTGACAAACATTTTCTTATGATACCAGGATGTTGCTTTGTTGGACAGACTGATTAAAGATGATGTTGAGTTTGGAAAACTGCCATTGTTGCTTGTGGCCAATGCTGGTAAGTGCTGTGGACAAACAATCACAAAAACCCCCATGCTACTTCATGAATATATACACAATAAAAAACCAAAGAACATATAAAATAAAAAAAACAAAAATTTTCCTAAACAGCTCAGTGGTTGCCTGTCAAGAAGTATCAGGAAATATCTTAATGACCACACAATCATTATCTGTCCGAAGGGGATTTTATTTAACTAATTCAGTTTTGAATTGTGCTGTTACAGTTTTGCATATGTCAGTTGATGTATTAACATGACTGTAACTTACTTTATTGAGTGCAGATCTCTTGTTAAAAATCAGTTTTACATTAACACTTCAGAATTTTTAGATGGATGTGCCATCAACTTTAGCTTGAAAAATATTTTTTCTTCTCGTTAATTAAACACATGTACAGAATTTGCTTTAAGTATGAATGGGGGAGGTGACTGTTACTTGTTTGGGACCTGGAAAGTGATCTGAGATCAGTTCAAGAGGCTGATTTAGCAGAGCCCCAGTGCAGGCTGATCCTCTGTCACTGTTTTTGCCTGTTCAACCAGGGACTCCGGGTGCTGGGCACACGGACAAGCTGGGCCGGCTGAAGGAGCTCTGTGAGCAGCACAAGATGTGGCTCCATGTGGAAGGGTATGGAACTGGAGACTTCCTGCTCTAGAACTGTGTTCATTAAAAAGTCTGACTAATAGACACCATCTAATTTAACAGCTCACAGAGAGCCATAGGGCCAACTTTAGTTGGTCATAGTAAGCATTTTATATGGTTATAATTCTGTTATTGTGAGATAGAAATTGATTTACATACACAGGAAGAATTAATTGGAGAGGTAATTTCAGCACAGATTAGTGATCACTTTTATTCAGATGGTAATCTTATCGGCCCTTGCTTTGAAGAGCTTGAAATATTAATAAAAAGACCTTCTAGGCTAGGGAGGTCTAAAAAGACCTTCTAAGTCAGGAAGGACATTGTACAGTGATTATTGAGAATGAAATGGCACTTCAGTGAAGGTTGCCAAGAAGGCTTCAGCAAGAGCAGTGTGTAACAGAACTGGGAGGGGGATTAAACCAAGAGAAAAATAAATTCCAAGAACTTGGATAATGTCAATGAAGACTCCAGTGCTCTAAGATTATATTTTTTGAAGCTGAAATAAGGACAATTTCTCCTGGTACTTTGTAGAATAGCTGTATTTGCACACTATTTATTTCTGATACCAAATTGATGCTAAATTATGGATACGACCTTGGGTGATGATTTCACCAAATGTTGGACTGAAAATTTTTAGAACAAAGTAGGTTTTTACTTTTGAGTTTTCAATCGCGGAATACCAAGTAGCAACATCTCCTGCATTGTTAATGAAAAATATATGAACAAAAATTACGTCCCTTTACACATCAATATGAAATTTTTAAACTGCAGATTAAAATGCTGTCTCTTAATACATATTTAATATATGCTAAACCCACTTTTTTTTTTCCAGTGTGAATCTGGCAACTTTGGCTTTGGGTTATGTCTCCTCTTCTATACTGGTATGTTTCTCTATATCTAGAAACTTTAAAATGTGCTTGTGTAAGGTTAATCAAAATATATATGGCTTATATTGTGCTTATTGTAATAAACTTCAGGCTGCTACAAAATGCGACAGCATGACTCTGACTCTGGGTTCCTGGCTGGGGCTCCCTGCAGTGCCTGCAGTGACCCTCTACAGACACGAGGACCCATCCTTGGTATGTCCAGTTCTCACTCACCACCCTCCAGATCCTGGGATTCTGATTCTGCTCACAGTGTGCTGCCATGTTCTTCATAAGCATCTAAATTATAATTTCCAAAGCTGGCAAGAGTGGCAGCATTGAGGAGAGGTTAACAGTGGTGTGTTTGTTTCCCTCCTCAGTCCTTGGCAGCGGGGCTGACGTCGAGCCAGCCCGTGGAGAAGCTCCGTGCCCTGCCCCTGTGGCTCTCCTTGCAGTACCTGGGCCATGATGGCATTGTGGAGAGGATAAAACATGCCTCACAACTGGTGAGCAACAGCTCAGCAGGGATTTATGGCAGCTTTTGACAGATCTTTCTGGTTATTGGGATGTGTTGTTGAAGACTCAACTAAAATACTGCAGTTGTTGATAGTATAACATTGGGTCACATTATTACACCCACGATGAAAGCACAGGAAAATGTTTGAGGCAGGGTTTGTGCTTTTACTATTAGATTGTATGTATATTTTTATAAGTGAGAAAAAAAAAGTCTTTGTTCTTCCTAGACAGTGAAGTAACATAATAATTTCCTTTTTTGTCACTTCTCTAGCTATTTTTGCTGGAAAGCTCTTCAGAAAGACTTTATTTTCCTACTCAGCATTGTGTTGATTTAAATACTGGTAAATTACTTTTAGTAAAAAGGACTTCAAAACGTTTTTGAGGTACAAGTGCACTATGTTTGGAGTCCTTACTTTAGTAAAAATTAAGGTCCAATGTAATGTGTTAGTTACAAAATGCAGTGCTTATATGCAAAATATTATTTCTTTAAGGTCACACTTTGTTGTCAGTGTTTTGCTAAACCCAGAAAATACTTTTCCATTAAATACATTCCAAATTGACAAATGAAAACTGGATGAGTCTGATGTGTTGGAGGGGTTTGCTCAAAAATTGCAACTGTTGAATGTTTTTTTTTAACTTTTTTTTAACTTCTAAAACTGTATTTCTCTCCTCCATTTGTTCTCCTGCTCTGGTCTTCTAGAGTCAAAGGCTGCTGGAAAACTTGAAAAACCTGGATTTCATTAAAACCTCGGTACAGTTGTTTTTAATATTTTGGTTGTATATCTTAGTTTCTGCCTGTTATAATAAGAATAACTTTGACTAGAATAAATTATTAAAATATTATATTAATCATAACCATTGTTTTGAAGACACTTGGGATCCTTCTAATTAAGTGCTGGTGTTCAGTGAAATCTCATGGCTTGGTTGTGTGTGACCTCTGGTTTGTGTTTGTTCCATTGCTCTGTACTGGTGCACCCATGGGAGTGCAGAAGAGCATCCAGAAGTTGTGTTCAGAGCTTGATTTAATTCCATGTAGAACATGGGTTTGCTCAGTAACACATCTATGAAACCAGTTTCCCTAAGTGTCTCTAATATATTCTGGCTGCATATTACCCTGCTGTTGAGATCATGCTGTGAACCCTGTGGTATTGTCCACAAAAATTATCCCAGCTAAGGTTTCTACACCAGAAATAGGTTTAGAAATCACAGCTAATGTATTCATTCCAAATTCAGTTTCTGCGAGATGTCCTGTCCAGCAGGGTTTGGTTATTTTACTCTGACCTTCACCCTGGAATTTTAGTTGATATTTGATGTATAGAAAATTTAGTCAGCTTACTGAGTAAGCTGTAGAGTATTAATGGCCTTGGGAGTTCAAGTTACTGTATCACTTACCCTCCTACTCAAATAATCTTGAAATTTTTAGGATTATGAAATGTAGCCTCAGACTGTCTCCAGAAGTAGCACAGTCCATCTCTCCAAAGCAGGAGCAATTACAGTCTTACTTTTCCTGCTGGAACTTTCTTGATGTTTCCCAGTGATTCTGGGGTGATTTTCAAGAGACCTCAAGCTTTGCTCAGCAGTGTAAGGAATTGTACATGGTGTTAAATCTTTAAAAAAGCAGGGGAAAATATTTTTTTTCTTTTAAGGTTGAAGATGAACTGAGTTCACCAGTGGTGGTTTTCAAGTTTTTCCAGGAATATTCAAATAGAGGTATGTGATTTATTTAACACAACCAAAAAACCACCCCTCTCTATAGAGTACTTTAAACTACTAATTCACCAAATGAATTTGAGGTAAATGTGATGTAGTGCAGTTCTCTCATGTAACATGCTTTTAAAAAGGTTGTGAATGCTGGTCACAATCTGTGACAAATCATACACGTGATAGCTTCTTTTTTTAGACAGACTGCAGTGTTTTAAATTTTCATAACAAGTAATTTTCTGCCTTGTTGAGTGAGAAGATTTGCATATGATTTTGATCTTGGGAGCAGATGATGGAAGTCTCTTACGAGCTGCAGGCTGAGTATGAGTGTACTGGTGGGGAGAGGTTTTGGTTTTTTTCAGGTTTTCTGTTCCTTTCAAACATTTCATAGCTCGTGGCAAACACTACATTGCTGTGGTTTACTGATTACAGTTCCTGTTGCAATTATAAAAGCAGCAGAACATATTGGGAACAGCACTGGAAATGCTGTCACAGGTGTTAAATATTTGCAACCTCCTGTGAAAGGACTTTGCTGTGTGAAAACACTGGTTGTATTTCCATTGGGGCATTTTAACCTCAAAACTCAGAAGTATTTTACTGGTTTGGTTGGTTTTTTTTTTTAACGATTACATTCAACTCTGTTTTACTTCCAGTATTTATTGTGTTCAACATATTTTTACAAAAACATCCATCTGCTACAGGCCTAGTACATGGTGTGGATGTGTTATATTAGCTAGGAAATGTAATTGTCTTTTATCTAAATTTTAGGTTGCCTTTTGTTTAACTAAGTAAATTCAAGTCCACTTCTGTGATTCTTGTGTCTTTGGGTTCAGATCAGACCTCACATGCTGCACAGGCCTCAACTATTCAGCATCCCATAATAAGCAACGAAGGGCACATTTATGACACCTTCAATCAGTGGGTAAGAATGGATGCTTTTTTCTTTAGAGAAGGGGAGTGACAGTGGAGTAGTCCAGGGGGTCATCAGGAGCTATAAACCCTTTGCTAGAATAGTTTGAAAGATGTTCTTGATCTGATTTCCTTTGCAAAACTTGTGGCTGTTTAAAAGATTAATTTGCTCTGAAGCAAAGTTGTTTTCACATTTCTGATCATTTTACACATAATTAGTAGTGAAATCATTCCTGAATCTTAAGCTCTTGGTTGTTCCCTTGATCTTGTGGAAATATGTGTAAACTTCAGAATTCTTTTAAATGAGCCAAATGCTCTGTTGCCAGTGTCTGTGGATTCTTGAACAGACAGCTGCCTTTTCCAGCTCTTGAGTTAATTCTAGAAGCTGTGCTAGCAGAGCTGAGCATGTGGCTGGTTTGGATCCCTTGTGCAGTAATCATGGCACACCTAATGGCAGTGACAATTTTTCAGAAAATTCTGACTTGTAACACTTTGCTTATCCCAAATTTCCATGATTTTAAGGATCTGTTGAACTCAGTCATCTCACCCGCAGGGTGAACTATTTTGGTGCAAGAACTGATTTTGAGAGAAAACTGTTTCCGTGTTGTTCCCTGGGCTGAGGCAAGGCCTGAGGCAGGGCCTGCAGGAGCCCAGTTCCCTAACTGTGCCCTGTCCCTGCAGCTGGGAGAGCAGCTGGCACAGCTGGTTCCTGCCAGCGGAGTCGATGTGGTGGAACTGGAGGATGAAGGCACGTGCGTGCGCTTCAGCCCACTCATGACTTCTGCAGGTAATGTTCACTCCAGGCAGCCACTTGTAAATGCTGGCCTTTGCTGTGGAATGGTACAACAGTCTCCTGGGGATGTGCTCAAGAAGCTCCTCAGGATATTCTCCTGTGGGGAGGATTTTCTTATAAACAAACCAAAACCACCTCAGCACTGGGTGCATTAATGGGAGCCCAGCTGTTGTGGTCACATTGCCTCACTATCTCTGCAGAGAAAGCCTTCCTGGTTACTTTTTAAACTCATTAGGAAAAGCATTTAATTAGGAAAAGCAGTTAAATTCCTTCTTTCAGCTGCTTAACACCAGGTGCCTGACCTTTCTACAGAGGTGTTTCAACACTGCAATGGTGCTTGTGTTCAAAACACAGCTACTTAGCTGGAGGAATTATTTACTAATCCTCCAAGATTTTCTATAACTACTGATGGATGGGGGATATAAAAAAAAAATCTGTGTGTTGGAAAGCAGAAGCACAGAGCAGTGTGCAGGGCTTGTGTGGGATGGGGGGCTTAGGCTGTAGAACAGCTGACACTCATGAGAGAAGGTCCTGGTGTACACAGAACAGCAGATTTTAGAGAAATTACTTGGTGATGCTGAGATGTTTTGTTTTAAAACAGCATGGAAGCTAATTCATGTCCAGCTGGGCTATGGGAAGAGGATGTTTGTGGGGTTTTTTTAATGCTAGCTACTGATGTAATTCAAAAAGGTATTGTAACATATCCTTATTAGTTTGTAACATGAGAAAGTCCTTTTTATTAATTTTTATGAAATCCTTATTTCCTTTCATTTTGATGTATCAGTGCATAGATAACTGAACCAAAAACCCACTTACATAGACCAAGATATTCAATACTATCTGTAAATTATATTTGTGATGAACTTGCAGAGCAGCTCCTTTACAAATCCTTAATTCAGACATCTGTGCCACATCCATCACACTTACCACACACTAATACTTCTGCTCTGCAGTTTTAGGAACTGAAATACAAGACATTGATCACTTGGTAGACTGCTTAAAAATGAAGATTCCAGTGTTGACAAGCACACTGCAGCTGAGAGAGGAGTTTGAGCAAGAAGTGAGAAGAACAGTTAGCCTGTTGTATATTGAAGATCTTGGCTGGCCAGGGTTAGGTGTTGTGAGGTAAATAATTTTCTTCATGCTGTATTTGCAAACACTGTGCTTGAGCAGACAGGACCACGTGATCTCTTCAGTAGTCATTTGGATGTTTCGTTTGCTGATTGTTATCTGGCTTGCACCCAGTTGAAGCTTTTGAGTGCTTTTTAGGAAATGGCATTTATGAAGTAATTTTCTTTGATTAATTCTTAAAGAAAAACTGAAGAGCTGCTTTGGGCACTGGTTGTAACACTGGAAGCAGTGTGTGTGGGGTGGGGAATATGTAATGAGCAAGTGCATTCCACTGTCTTTAGCCAAGCATAACTTGTATTTTTATCTATAATGGCACTCACTGATATGCTGAATAGACTTTAAAAAGCCCTCCAGGTGTCTGTTCTGATCATTTGATGCAGCCCTCTGGAAGAATTCTGTATAGTCAAAACAGTTCAGGTATAATCAATACAGCAACCAGAAATCTGTTGTGCTGAATTTGCAGCATCAAGCTCAGCCCACCCCCCAGTCCCTGATGAGAAATGCCACTAAACTTGCTGGTAGGAGCTGTAATGTTCTGAGGTTTTTGTTTGTAAAATACAGGAATTAGTAGAAATGTACTAAATGTGTAGGTGCTTCTGTATGTACTGTAAAGTGAAATTACTATATCTTGGCTTGGTTTGAAGGTACAACTATCACAGTGATGAGAAGAATGACAACAAACAAGAAAAAGAACTAGAAAAAATCAATACAGAACTTCTGAAAAAGTTAAATGAGCTGGAGTCGGATCTCACCTTTTCTTTGGGTAACTGCACTATTTAAGAACTTCTTTTCAAGCTAGTGGTCATTCTCCTAGCTGTGCTAGGATGATTTGATAGGTCGTTATGATGAAGAATGAGCTGCTGCCCATGTGATTATTGCAGAAGGAACACCTGTAACTGTTCTCTCCTCCCTCGTGTTTCAGTTCAGGAGTGCTCACCAGGTGAGCTGTTCTCAGAAATCCTTGTGAAAACTGATGTGTGGGCAACTAGAGCAAGAAGGGTTCCTTGCCAGAAAGAGCAAAAGCTGCAGCATTCCTGTGTGTAGATGGAGCCTTCTCAAGTGGTGCTGGATCTAGTGGAAAGCAGATCTCATTCCAAACCCACTGGCACTGATGGCTTCACTGCTCTCTGTGGCTCCATTAAAAGCTTTAGATGACTTTTGTGATAATTAGCAACACATTTACAGTGCCACATGATAGCTGAAAGTATTAATTTGCTTATTCATAATTCTGATCTTTTTCTAATCAGCTGTCAAAAATTAAGTGCCCTGCGGTTGTGGAACGAAGTAATCTGTAAATGGCTGAAAGTTAAGGAGTTTAGAGCATATTCAACACTGGTATTTATAACACAACTCCTTGACTGTATAAAATATTCACTGTTTTTCTTGCTCAGGTTGTTTTCTCTCTTTGAAAACCCCCAGGGCTGAACTTTCTTGGCCTGCATAATTTGTACCCACACAGATCCTGCCCTTAGGTACTGGAGGGAGGGTGTGTACTGGGATTTCCAGATTCACAAGCACAAGTGCTGCAGCCCTTGCAGGATTGCAGATTTGTTCAGCACACAGACCTGACTCTCCCTGTGCCCCCAGGTCCGGAATTCGGAGGGCAGAAGAACTGTGTTTACATTGGCATGGTCACAGAGGATCTGGATGTGTCAGAATTGGTTGAAACTATTGCAGCAACAGGCAGAGAAATTGAAGAAAATTCAAGAGTATGTATTAATAACTCACAAAATATTGAAGCACCTTTTTTCCTTCCCTTTCATATTGGCTTCAGAACATGGTTTTGTTCATTGTGAAAGTAAAAGTTGTGCTTAACCACAAGAGTTTTAGTTACTGTGGAAGGAATAATCTGTGTCTACCTAGGGAGAGTTATGGATTATGATATTGTGAGGATGTCTGAATTTGTGTTCATGGTGCTGTGTGCAGTAGTTCTAATGAAAACCTTCAGTAGTACTGAAGTAGCCTCATTTTATCATTCAGATTTTAAGCTGTCAAAAAACAAAAGGGAAGGTTGATTGTGAGCTGGTGATTCTCTGCACTGCTAGATGTGGTGGGATTGAGATTCTTTATATTCCAGCTTTAAAATAAGACTATACTCTAAAATGTGTGAAAAACTTTAAACTGGTGTCTTAAACCCAGAAATTACAAGTTACCTATTGAAGTAATAAAGCTGATGATGCAACTTCTATTTGTCAAAGCATTTACCTGAATGGAGTTCTCCAAATGTTCTCTAAAATAGAATTCTTGAGTAACCTGCATTACATCTGTCCTTTCATTCTGCTAGTATTGGGTATTTAATTTTCTCACCTCAAAAATAAATAGAACTTCAGAAATCCTTTGCCTATTTCTGCTCATGGGAATATGTTGATTATGGCAATGAATTTTTTCTAGCAGTAACTTAATGCCCACTCTTGACTCCCTGTGCTGCTTGGAGCGTGACATGAGGAAAGTTTTGTCTGTAGAGCACCTTCAGTTTTGTAACTGTTGTAGTGGAGAGGTTGGAGCTGAATGGGCTCCTTGGATCCTGAAGGTTCCAGGGAGGAACAGAGTGGTGGAAGAGTCAGAAGGATGCAGTCCTTGGAACCAGGTGCAGTAAATCTGTGGATCTTCACCATTTGATCCAAAGCTGGGAAGCAGAACCCATTTGTGAATGTCCCTTGCCCCGCTCAGATGAGGAGGATTGGTACAAGGAGGAGGATTTTACAAAAAGCCCACATCACTCCAGCCTGCCCTGAGACACGCAGCAAAGGCACTGAAAGGCAGGACCAAAGCTGAAAATGACTGGGCCAGAAACACAGTGGTTCTTCCTGGCACTCTGAATTCCACCCCACTGCCCTCCCTCCTGTAGCCAGGGACTACCAGGGGTCTTGAGCTGCCATGGGGGTCAGTTCCTGGCTGGCCTCTCCCTCAGGGAAAAGGAGCAGCTTCCTCTTTGTCCTTTTATTAGCTGACAGAAACACAAATTTTTGGCATTTTGGAGGAAGTGCCTGTCCTTGTGCAATGTTAAAACCAACATTAATATATGGAAATTGGCATTTGTCTCACACAAACAAAGATGTAGCTTCTTGGGTTTGTCCATTCCTTGTCCCTGCAGCTGTCCCAGTAAGCTGCCTGCCCTTTGCAGTATAAAACACTGCTGCGGCTGGCCTGGGCTGCCACAGGGATCAGTGGCAGCTCTTTATGAGAGCAGGAAAACAAAATGAACCTATAGGCTGACACACAGTTTGTTATTGTGAGGCTGATTTAAGTATCCTGGGTATTTCTAGGAACCAAAAATGTACTCTATAAACATAAACATTTTTCCCAGGTATTCATCTGAGGAACATTTATATGCTAAGCCAGTTTTCAAAGAATTTGGGTCATAGGCTCATTTCTAAGTGTAAAAAAAAAAAAAAAATCCTGTTTAAAATTACTTTATTTCCTCTGGGCTTATATGTTAAAAAATCCTGCAGTCAGCATGTGCATTCTTGAATTTATAGTCATAATGAAATAGAGATAGTCACATAGTCTTAAATTGGAAAAATATCTGACTAGCCTGTCTCCATCCTGAAAACCTGAACTAAAAAGACAGTTTCAAGTCCAAATAATGCATATCCTTATTTCTGGGTTTTATTAGCTGTTGGAAAACATGACTGAAGTTGTTAGAAAAGGAATACAGGAAGCACAGCTTCAGCTTCAGAAAGCAAATGAAGAACGACTGCTGGAAGAGGTGAGGCCACACACAGCAGCCCTGTGGTACCCTGAGGTAACTCATCCCCTGGGGGCTCTTTCACCAGTGTTGGGTTGTGCTTTGCAGGGGCTGCTGCGACAGATCCCCGTGGTGGGCTCTGTGCTGAACTGGTTTTCTCCCTTCCAAGCCTCGCCCAAGGGAAGGACGTTCAATTTGACAGCAGGTAGGGCTCGGGGCACCTGCAGCTGTGTCTGCACTGGGACTGTTCAGTTCTGTGCTGAACCTGCAGCACACATTCCTGTGCTGGTTTGATCATGAGTGGCATAATCCACCTCAGCATGTACAAGAACATGCTTGGCACTATTTCTGTAACACCCAGTAAGAATCTTCTATTCTCTTGTACAGTTCACATTTTGTTCTTGCATGTTGAATCATGTTAAAAAAGCCATGATAGACACTGGCAGTTATTAATAGAGGAATCATTCCTGTGACCTCTGGTTGCCTATCCTGGAGGAGTTGGAGGTGTCAATACGTGAGCTGGGGGTAGCTTGGCCTTAGCACATCGCTCCTCATGAGTGCCTCCTCTCCCGTGTTCCCCTGTGCCCCTGAACAGGATGTCTGCCTGGATGTCTGTCCAGCAATTGGAGGACAGGTTAAAGCCAGCTGGGGCCTGGCATCAACTGGGCTGTGTGGGAAACTGTAGCAAATGGAATGGTGCAGTGTGGAAGACTCTGTTTTACTCTGATGTGCAATTTGTGTCTGGGAATGTAGAAAGAGCTGCCTGTAAGTTTTTATATCAGCGAAACTGATGTACCAACGTAATACTTCCTGAAATTATTAATTTTCACTGTAGTAGTACTGTGGCAGTCACAGAAATTAATATTCCCGGGCTCAGCAGAGTATCTGGCCCACCCAGGACAGTGGCACACTGTCTGTGTCTGTACCCTGCAGGGAAAGCTTCCTGCTGTGCTCAGGGCCTTTGTGACTCTGGATGCACCAAGTGGCAGGTTCTTAGAGCACAGAACAGCCCACTCCCCTGGGAATGCTGACCCTGCATGGCTGGATATCCCTCCCTGGCAGCTGGGAAGATGTCACATGCCCAGGGCAGGAAGGAAATGGGACTACAGAGTGTAGCAGTGCTGTGAAAGGAGGGTGAGGGGAAACGATTCACTTGTGAAGTCTCAGCACTCGTGTTCCTGGGTTCTCAGATTTCATCACCCCCATGTGACAGTTTGAACTCAAATACTGCCCTTTCAGAAGTTTTAGTCAACTTACTTTTTTTAACCTGCAGGCTCTCTAGAATCCACAGAATCTATGTATGTATCGAAGGCCCAAGGAACAGGCAGCACTCCACCACCAACTCCCACTTCCAGCCTTGCAAAACAAAGACTTCCTGGTAAGTTTCTGTGTCTGAGTTTAATTTCTGAAACTTCCCTGACACAGGAAGACCCACATGATTTTCCATCTTTTGTAACATCTGGAACTAGAGCTCATCTTCTACCACCTTAAAAACCTTCATGTACCCATGGCACAGAACACTGCCCCAAGCTGTTATCTCCCCAAATATTCTTCCTGGGACTACAGGAAGTTGTCCAGTTAACTGACAACTACCCAGGAAGTCTGGAATCTTCCTGTAGAATAATATGAGATTATTGAGCTTTAAAAATGAACAGATAAACAAGCCAAAAGTTTTATTTGAAATAAAAGCATAATAACATATGGTCATGTACTTCAGCAGCTGCATTTCTGTTGCTACCAAACATTTTGTGGCCTAAGCCATTCTGAGGTGAAGATCTGTTAAATCTATGGCACTCTCTGCACAGTTGTATTAGTAATTAATGCTGATTTGCCTGGCAGGAAACCCAGTTTTGACTCACCTTTTGGGCTGGTGGCTTCCAGCCTGTGACTTTCAGTGCAGTTGTTTAACCTGGAATGATTTCAGTTTGTAAGCAGGCAGCTTGTCTTCAGCTCAGTTTTCTGTCTCTGCATACACAGGATACAGTAACAGGGGCTGTTATATTGCAGACCTGTCTGGGTCTATGTTCAGGGTCCAAAGTAGCAGGCAAACAAAACCTACTTCTCTGCTGTTACAAAATTCCAATACTTCCTTTAGAAGAGGAACTTGTGCACACCACTGTATGTATTTGCTGCCTTCATGGGTACTGAATGCTTCAAACACTTCACAGGTCAGAAAGCTTTCAAAAGGTCTCTGAGAAGCTCTGATGGGTTCAGTGAGACCAGTTCCATCAGCCACTGTGATGACCTGGACAAGCTGGAACAGAGACCCCCAAATCTCTCCCCTGGCCAAGAGCAAGGACCTTTGGAGGTGGAAGGAGCAGAGGAGCAGAAGGAGGTGGCGCAGGCAAAGACAGACACTGAGGACATTCACAGTGACCAATCGCCACCAGACTGCACCAAGGTAGAGGACCAAGCAAGTCTAAGATAAAATCCAGAGTGTGGATTTGAGACTGTGCTGAGCAGGCCCCTGCCCAGGCAGGCAGGCTGGTAACGGTGCATTGAAGATGTGAACAGTGCCACACACAGTACAGTAACAACTACTGTAACTTATTAACTGGGATTTTGCACAAATATACATTCCCTCCCCTGGGACAGAGATTTGTCTTATTGTACTCTTGTTACAGTTGCTTTAATCCTCTCCATGTTGGTGTCACCAAAGCTGTAGTGAAATTTGAGTGCTCATGAACGTTTGTAAAAACACTTGGCAGTTATCCTTCCTGCAGGGGTCCACGCATGCCAGACTGCTAACTAACCACTCAGCCATGCACATGATGAAAAATACAGCTGCACCCAATAATTATAAAATTATCTTATGTTACTATACTTTATAAAAAACAACTGCCAGTTGTTCACCTTTTTAGTATTTAAAATTCAGTTTAGGCTCTCCTGCAAAACTTCTCCTGAAGTCACCCTAGTTCTGTGTTGCTTCTTTCCTGTTACCTTGCCCACAGCCTGCCCCAGAGCCGTGGGTATGGGCACTGGGCAGGGACAGGTGCCCTGTGGGTGGGAGTCACCGAGGAGCACTGGGCCATCACCCCTGTGTTCCTGCTCTTGTACCACTTCACCCCCAGCCACGGCCCTGGGTATGCTGGGACTGAGTTAGTGGATTTTCAGCCTTCTAGGAAGCAGGAGTGCCTCTGCATGCCTGGCCAGCTTCCTACCCCTGCCTGGGAAGGAGCACAAGGCACTGTTACTTTCCTTTGCACGGCATTTACACACCAAATACTGAACATGTTCATGCAGTGTAACTGAGTTCTTTCTGTTGTGTATTTTTAAAGATAGCTGTAGTAAAGCTTGAAAAACCAATACATTTGTGATGGTTTCGACACTTATTTTTTGAATAACAGTAACTTACCTATGGTAGGAATTGTACAGAGTCAAAAGAAATTATTTAGGTTATTTACATACAGCACAACTTCAGAGTGTTTGGGACTACTTAATGCACAAGCAAAGCTTTGAATAAATCAAAATCCAAAGTGTAAAAGTGTCTTACCGCAAATCATCTTAATCACTTCACTGCAAGTTTTCAGAGCCTCTTGTGGAAAAGCCATCTTTGGCAACACTTGCTTTCCCCAAGTAACCTGATGGTGATACAAACCCTCCCCTCCCTCTAGAACTGGATAAAAGTACTGCAGTTTGCTCCATTTGGGTTTTTTCCTCCCTGCCTTTTTCCCCCCACAGGTTTCCCTTAATACCATGACAGTAGTGGTAGTGGGACTTACTTTGATAATCTGCAAAATTTGAGGGTTTTGAATTGTACTGGCACCTGATTTGACTCTCAGCTTCTGAAGCCTGCAGTGCTGGGATGCCATAAACAAGGTTAACTTTGCTTGGGTAATTTTGGGGTAATTTATGTAAATCAGTGCAATTTTTTCTAAAGTGCAAAAGCAATTAAATTGACTAGTCTTCCTCCTTGGTTTCTTTAGTGCAATGAAGTATATTAATAACAGTAATTTGTTGGGGATAAAAGCTATCCCCACGAAGATTAATTTTTAATGTTTTTATATTTGGAAATGTTAAATCAGTAGTTTTGTTGGAATGAGCTTCATTCTTTAAATACTTACCTGAATGTTTCAATAAAGATACTTCAAATTATTACTGTGGCATTAAGTTATTGTTGAAGGACGCTTTGCTACATTCCAGCAAACTCTTTCTTTCCTTGTGTGTGCCAAATCATTTAATGAAGTGCATGCCAGTGCAGTGACTCACCTTATCAGTCTCTAGCATTGCCACCTCTACCTGCCCATCAAATTACTGCACTGGAGCAACAGAACCTAAACAAACCCAAATTCTTACTTCAAAGAAACCCTGATTTCTACATTAGTAATGCAGAAAAAGCAAGTTACTTCTATCAAAATATTTTATTTTGAAAAGCACAGGAACAATGGTATTTGTGACCAGCAATATGCTCTTTGCAACAAATTGCTCTTCCTGTGAGATTGTATTTCCTTAAAGCAATTGTGGGGGTGGGTTCCAGGTTAGATTTTGTCAGAGCAAACCTGTTCCCACAACCCTTCTTCATTTTTTTTGTAGATTCGAGGCTTCCTGTCAGGAAACAGGGACCGAGATGGAAATGGATGTTCTTTTAGAAATGTCAGTGTAGATCTAATGTGGGAAACAAAGTGGGGGGGCTCAGCCAGGGGTGACGTGGAAAGGTTCTGAAAAAGAAGATGAGAGCAAGAGCTGCTTGACATTCAGGATACAATGTTCTCATTATCCTGTCCCTCTAGGATATTCCCCACCCTCCCAGGGACATCAGTGCACAGGGAAAAGTTTTGACATACTGTAACACCCCTCTCTCTACTCAGCTAGAAGGTAAAAAAACCCAAAGCAGTTAGTTTCAGGTACCTGTAAAATCTGTGCATCGTCTTGTTCCAGCCAGAAATCCACATGTGGGAAAGGCCCCCAGAAATAAGGCCCAATCCGGAGCTGTTCTGTTTTCGCATCGTAGATGTTGGTCAGCTGTAAGAACACAGGGAGGCTGCACAGGCAGCCAGGGCTGTCCCAGACAAGGAGAGTTGCCCTCAGTCTGGCCTGGCCAGGCCAGCCCTGCTTCCCACCAACGGCACTGACACCCCCAGCTACTCCACCAAACACAGCATGAAATGGTGACAACAAACCCAGAGAGCTACCAAAGGATGCTTTCCTCAAACTCTGGATGTTTCATTGCCCCTAACTGGCCTCCCCTTGCCATTTTCTCCATCCCTTTTACTCACTGGTGCTCCTGTTAAAATGTGGGCTGAACGCAGATCCTCATCCGGCCCTTTTACTGGGAAGGTTGCAGGGAAAATCTCTGCTGTTTTAACATTCACAGCTGGTAGAAATAGAGATTAAATACAGTAAAAATGAATTGTTGCGAGGCACTTCTTTACAATGACCATGTACCTAACAAAACTGTGTTGCAGAACTGTTGAACCCATCACACATTTTTATTTCTCAGACCCCAAGCTTGTGACAGTACATTTCTACTTCATTTCCTTTGGCGGCATTTCAATATTCCAGAGATGAGTGAACTAATTAGAAAAAACACTGAGTAATCAAAGAGAAGATTAAATTCTAAGCATAAATTTAGTGCAGTTAAAGGAAAAAAATCTATTTGAATTTGTACACGGCCTCTTCATGTGTGCCTCTCCCCAGCTGTGGCACCACAAGAAAAGCATTTCTGCCTATGCCTCTGACAGCAGTGTGCAGCTTTTAGGGTGGATTTTTCTCATTCATTAAAAGCAGTCCATTTACTATTGGAATCTGAAAAGCAATCCAGTGACCAAAAGAAAATTCAATTCTAATTTAACTCACCTATTCCATAAATTATTGGAAAGTGAATATCCTGTTCTTCTCTGTCATTTAGTTCTGTAATGAAGAAAAAGAAGTCAAACTTGTAGGGTTTTGGATTTTAGTCTGAGCAGCATTTATTTAATTATATGTAATTGAAGAGCAAGAGATCTGATGTTGCATAAGACAGAAAAAACCAAGGAAGCCTAAATGAAATATGGAAAAGGCAGAGGTCAGTAACAAGACACGTGGGACTTGGAGCTGTCTCCTACCAGAACAGCAGCTCCAGCCCCCTGCTTCTGCAAGGACAATTTACTGCAGCCCAGCAGAACAAAGGTCCAGGAGTGCCCTTCTCAACTGTCAGATATGCACAGGTACAGAGACTGTTCCTTGGGATAAATGTGCCAAAATAACCTGGCCATGACTATGAGTCAGTTGCAGTGCAGCAGCACTTGGTAAGGAGCAAATGTCCCCTGCATTGGCTCTCTGACATCAGCACACACACACCAGCAGTAAAACTGGAAATCATACAGCAGTACGGAGGACTTGTGCTGTTCTTTCTTGCAGGACAGAGAAAAAGCCATGTCTGAGAAGTTCCCTGCCCTTTTTTTTCAGGAAAGGTACTTCCAAACCCAAGGGAACATTTTCTTACCTGTTACACAGAAAGTTACTAAATGAACATCCTCTGGCTGGAGGTCGAACGCTCCTGTGATGACAAGGACAGCAAAAATGTCAGTGAGTGGGGGCAGGGCACTGCCCTGGGGGTGAGGGGCACACCCTAAACCCCTGCTCCAGGTAGGGCAACACTGCAAACAGGGTTCTGCACATTTGCTTCAAACTAACAGGAATTTACAGAGACGGGCCATTTGTAACAGCAAAAATCTGCTAAGAAAGTGCTCTGCCACTTACTCCTACTGACACTGGCTTAGCCCTGGCATCACATCAGCTCTGCTCTAATCTGCTATACATTTAGCAGGTTATATTCAAATGTTTTTTTCCTAAAATGTTACATAGATAGTGAACAAACCCAGTCTTTCATCAACTGTAAATTAGTTCTGCATTTCATCATCTCAAACACCAGAAAAAAAAAACCCCTTTTAAGTTCTGATAGCAATACAGCATTACTGATTCAAATTGTACCTTGATGCATGAAAATCAGAAGGTTAAAGTAAGTTAACCAAAATACTCTGTTCTGCACAGAACTCACATTACACAAAACACCCTCAGGTGTCATAGCCACAAGGCTGCATCCCAGGGTCTTTGGTTTTCCTTTTTTGTTTACCCCCTCAAACACCTCCCTCCAATCCTGACACCTGCCCCATCCCTGCCCCCTCCCCATTCCAGTGGGGCAGAGGCCTCTCCAGAAGTGGGAAAGTGCTTAGCACAACCCAGAGCACTCCCAGGTAAGCAGGTACTTTACACTTCCAATTGTTAGTGAAGAAGCACTGCCATCACTCCTCTCACTATGGATTTTATAAACAAACCTGACATTTTTTATTAGACAATTCCAAACAATAATTAAATTTTACCTCATCACATTAAGGTATGAACTGAATGGTAACTGATGAATCATCCACATGTACAGACTGGGAGAGTGACAACACTTGCCCATGATCCCAAGAAGATGAGCAGGAATCAAAGCCCAGCTGAAGTGCTCCCAACTCAGCCAAGTGTGAGAAGTGACAGGGTCGGACCCTGTGGCCCAGGCACTGACCATGGGCAAGCCCCAGCAGTCCAGCCCCTCTCCACACCAAGTTCTCAGGCAAAGACCCTTCATGTGAATCCACACTTCTTTCCAGTAAATGACTGGGGACTCACACTACAAACAAACCACCCAAATCCAGCCAGAACCTTTTTTTTTTTTTTTTGGGACATGAGAGTCGAAAAAACGTGAACTTACTAAGAAGCTGATTAGTAAGTTTTTGTGATAACTGCCTATCATCATTGAAACCTCCAACTAGGTGCACTTCCAGCCTAACAGAGATGGAATAACAGGAAACAGCAATTAAAAAGACATCTCAAAATGAATAGCTTTACAAAATAATCCCCAGCCCAAATTGCAAAGCAATCATTAGAGAAGCCTCACTTATTACAATCACATGCACCAAGCTGGTTTACATTACAGAGCAAGTTATGATAATTCCATTCTGAAAACTTCAGGGATCACCCAGGAAGTGGCACAGGAACAAGCTTGAAGAGGCATTTAATACATGCAATTCTATCCCAGGGGTATCTCTGGCACCTCTGGTTTGGACTGAACTTTGTAACCATCTTTCAGTTAATTAACCTTGAAGATTTTTGTTCCCATGACCTCCTCACAACTACTCTGGACCATGCAGCAGGGTTCTTCTCTAAGCAGTGTCTATGTAAAGTCCTTACAAATCATGAATCTTAGTTTGTGAACTTAAGATTTTGATAGCTTTTGCTCTTACCAAACTACACGGGTAAAACCCTCTACATCCAAAAGAAGCTTGTCTACTAAATTCTGTTTTAGAGCTTTTTATCCACTTTCCTATCCTCCACACCTTTTTTTTTTTAATAATGTGGACTTACAAAATTCCCTGATAAGATTATCAGATGCTGAAAAGAATTTACAAACACTCTGAAGGGAAAAATATAATGGAAACCAAAAACCAGTTACATGGAAAATTTTGCAAATCTGGAACAAAGTTAAATGGGAAACAGCAAACACAAAGCTCATGGTGGCATTTTACAGAGACACTCTTCAGAACAGAACCGTGCTTTAAACGACTGCTAAAAATACCCCCAAAATCATCATCAAGAAGTGATTTTCACTTTGCATGCGGCTGCTGATCAAGAGGCGTTTCCTGCACGATTCCCTTGTCTGAACCCAGCACAATCCCCTCACAGCTCCCCTCCACACGAGCTGCAGTAACCTTTGAGAGAAGCAGAACAAGAAGGGAGCAGAGCTGACCTGCCACAGCCTGAGGAGTTAGAGAAGGCCTTCACCGAGCTCATGATGAGCGACACCTCGGCCTCGGTGTCCGAGCCGTCGCAGTGGGTCAGGCACGTGGCTCCGCTGCCTGGGGAGGGCACACAACAGGGACTCGGTGACAGTGCCACCAACCGTGGCAGTCCCCAGTGCTGCAGGGAGAGCTGCCCCGCCACTGCCTCGCTCCCCTCGGCACAGCAGCCTCCAGCAGGGACGTGAGCGGGGCGAGGCAGCACCCTCTGCATGGGCCATTATTAAATCAGCACAACTGCCCTCTTAACAGAACAGCAACATCTCTAATGTCAGAAATCCAGGCACACAGTGAGGATCTTTCCACAAATTCTACACCTGAAACTGCTCTGCTGGACAC